CGGGGGGGGCAGAGGCTAATTCCTGAGCATTCCACGAACACACCTGCACTCGAGCACCCGTGACCACGCCCCTGGCCGCGGTGTCATGCTGCTCACTCGGTGCCTATAGTTTACCGTGTCCTTTCACAGGGCGGGGCCACCAATCACTGAAGAGCATATTTGAGAGGCATTCCGGGCTGTAGGAGTTCACAGATTTCACTTGAATCAAATGAGCTCCCTATTTTCCGGCGCATTGGATGAGCGGTTGACACGTTTGGCTCACATTTCTGACTTTCAGGGCTCGCTCTCATCTCCCACCTTCCCGTGTGCAGTTTGCCTTTTCTCCTAGTGCTGGAGTGTTTTTTTCCAGCTACTCACACACATTCTAAAATCATCCACGTTATGCTTGGCTGAACACTCTGACTTGTGCTGAGTTCGTCATGTGACTGGGAGAGGTTGCTGATCTGTATGTGCCTTGCGATTAACTGGTGACCAGTCCAGGGTGTGCCCTGCCTCTCGCCCCAATTCAGCTGGAAAAGGCTCCGGCACGCCCGCCACCCTCATGAGGAGAAGCGCTATAGACAATGGAAAGATGGATGATTAACAAATGTCGTCATCTTTCACGCATGCCTGAACATGTCACTCACATTTCAGAAAGTGAGGGGGTGACGAGGTCATTGATGAGGTCATTGATGAGGTCATCATCACAGGCTTCGCCATATGCTCAACTTATCAATTGCTCCAAAATGAGGAGCCAAAAAGATTCTTACAGATTCCGGGTGTTTTCAGGACAGTTCTTGACCGGTTCTAGACCAGTTGCACAACGGTTCCAGGCTGGGCCCATATCATTTCTGCATCGGTTCCGGGAAGTGACATCCGAGAACCATGGTCAGGAATTGTAGACAGCTGAAGTGAAAGTGGAACTTCTGCATTTGGCCTCATCGTCAGGGTCATTCAAGTTCATTTCAGGTAGTAGTCACGTAAAAATTCAGTCTCAAAATGCCTCAAAGTTATTGTCGTTGTTGGTCATTGCAACGGCACTTTGATGTTAGACACATGCACTGCCAATAAGAAGTTTGCAGCGTGCTTACTTCAACTGCACCCGTTGAGAGAAGAACGACTGATCCGTCCAAAATGATGAGCTTACTGGAAATAGACTTTCTTCTCTTTGTGATCAAATAAAGCATTTTCTTCCATGTAGCAAACACCAGCAACTCCTTTCACATGGAACCCTTTCATGTGTCAGTCGAGAGGAACTTTTCCCACACGGAACCGCTCGTCTCTCTTTTTCTCAGGAGACTGCCGTCGGCGTTCGACAAGAATGCGTCCACTGACTTCCAACATAACGTCTCTAATCAACCGTGTTCAATTCCACAAATTCAACAGGAATATGGTACAATGGTGCTCCAACCAGAACAGGCCCTAAGTGTACGAGCACATGAGACACTCAGCTAGACCTGATCCAAAAACCAACCAGAAGACGTCCAACCTCAACTAAAGCAAGGTCATGTCCCATTCACTAGAACTGGTCCAAATTCAATGAGCACACGTTCGACTTCAACAAGTTCAAATTCAGCCAGAACACGTTGCAAATGTACTGGGTGTCCAAATTGAAGTTGAACAGGTCCAAATAGTAGTAGAGCTAAAGAAGGCAGAACCAACTTGGGTTCGGTGCAGAGCACCTCGAGAATCTTAAACAGTCAGTCCTGTTGTCGGACTCACCTCGGGTGTTGTTGTTGTTGTTGGGGGTGTCTGGATGGGTCAGCTATGCTGTCAGAACTCAGAACCCGCCTGCCGCCCTGAGGCTTTGTACGCGGCGGTTCGGTTCCATTAGGCGGGAGAGTTGTGTTTTCATTTGACGTTCTCCTCTCATGTTTCCACGGTGACTCTAACTTCCGGGTCCAACGCGTGACGACACGGTGACGAGACGTCGGGACGTGCGGCGTCATGGTGCATTTGGGGAATTTTGGAAGTCGGACATTCCCGACCCCCGTGCAGGAAACGCGCACTGGAATGACACTGAACTGGGAGGTCCGTGTTGCAAGGTCGCAAAAAAATGACCCTTTAATCTGGCATCACTCGACAATGGCGACGTCCATGTAGACAGAGACCGCTCGAGGCAAAATATTATTTCAGAGGCGGCTGGTTCATGACCATGAAGTACGGCGTGCACGCGCTCATTCATCGACGCCTTGGCGCTCCGCCGGCCTGCGCGCTCTTCTCAAGCTGGACATGCTGCTGACGACTGGTCAGCCGGTATATCGCATTATAAAATCGTTTCGGTCACACAGTGTACAAAATTAAACACCAAAACAAAATACGAGCAAGAATATTATGGAGGTAAATAACTTCATTAATTCATTGACAATTGAATCACAGTAAATTAATTACAAGGAATTTAAAGGGAGGGGGAAAATAAATTTTTTTGGTTAATTTCATTTTTTAAGGATTTCTTCATTGTATTCATGCCAAATAATTATTTAGTTTATTGATTGTAAATCAAGTACAAAAACATTGGCAAAATAAATATTTGAACACTAGAATATTAGGGACAATTTTGTATTGATTTTATAAAGTAATTGGCAGATGAATGATATTCAAGTGAATTAAAAAAAGATCTTACAAGAAAAACGAGATTGAACTCGTCGGATGGATTGCAGCGTCAGCAATTGCTGTTCTCATCAGTGTGACGTCACGGGATCCCCAGCAATCCCGGTACTCGTCACTTATGTGGGGAAAAAAAAACCTCCTCTCTTCTGCGTTGCCGAGCGCTACCAAGTGGTTCAAATCTATACTGCACCATGCTCGCTGGGTGCCAGAAATTGATTCAGAATAAAAGTATTGTGTAAAGATGACAAAGAAGACCTATGGTACTTTAAATGTTGTTGTCTTTTTTGTTGTTCTATATTTTCTATAAGAATTGATAGCAAGGTCCAATTTGTGGGCTACTGTTGTTTAGCGCTGCTGTGAGTTGAGTCTATCGGCTTTATTTTGGTAAGTGACCGGAAGTAGCATCCGCTCTTCGAGGACAATTGGCTGACTCTGCCAGTGGACGAGCAAAAAAGACAAGAACGGATGAAACAGAAGCATGAAAAACAAGCCAACTTAACTGCGGTAAGACGCATCATCTAACTTAATACCGAGCTCGATGACTAATTCGTTTCCTATCTCAAAAAATGGCTAACTCGTGATGCTGACACTTGAGTGGAGGACGACACTTAAACTCGGCCCAATTTTAAACGTGTCCAATGTTGTCTGTTTTCTATACTTTTTGGAAGGCTTGTTTCTTTCGTTTTTAGAGTTTCTTTTGTTCCCGCGGCGTGCGGCTCGTTACCATGGAGAGCATCAGCCTCTCTCTCTCTCTCTCTCTCTCCTCTCTCTCTCTCTCTCTCTCTCTCTCTCTCTCTCTCTCTCTCTCTCTCTCTCTCTCACACACACACACACACACACACACACACACGCGCGCGCGCGCGCACACACACGAATACATTCGATTATTAATAGTATTCATTCACATGACCCGCCGATTCGCATTTTCGCAGATTTTTCCACAGTTTTTTATATATTTTTTGAAAAATCTAGATTATTTTCCCCTATCTCCCTGCGTTTTTCGTCAAAGGAATATTTCTCGGGGTTTTTTGAATACATTTTCAATTTTCAATTGCCAAAATCTGCAGAAAACTGCCGCAGATTTTGGCAATTTGGGGGCCTGCCAGATCCCGACTGGATATGTTTTCATACCGTGGGAAGGTTTGTCAGATGCTTGGCATTCTTCATTGAGTAATCAGGAAAAAAGACCACTTTTTTTTCTTTTGAATTGCATTCAACTCAACTGTCAGGCATTTCAGAATAGGACAACCATGAAACCAATTGATGAGACATTCATCACTCAGTGTTCAGTTACATTTGGATCTTATTGAGTTTTGGATCTGGCCAAGTCTTGGTCTCGGATAGCCCGGCCTGGTCTGGAGCGCAACACGATAAGGAGTTTGGATAATCGACAATTTGTGGTGAGCTGCGAAAAAAAAAAAAAAAAAAGGATTCGACTCGGAAACTAGGTTTTGATTTGACCAAATTGATTTGTTAAATTTTAAAATGATTAAATCCCTAAAATTGTATTGCACCCCAAGTGTCAAGATTTGAATCGAATTGTCTTTCATGAGAGATCTACATCAGATATAAGCAGTTTGGCACCACTGAGAATTTGAAATTTTTAAAAATTGAATTAACTTGGATAGTTTGGGCTTTGAAAGAGGAAGTGGAGGACGGAGCGTTTCGGGCCAGATGATCACAACCCGTAGCGTAATGGCCTCACGTCGCATCATCTGCTCTCATCGCATGCCAGCGAGATGCGGCGGCATGGAGGAGGCGGAGCAAAGCGTCTACGTGGCCCAGCTGAAGGCGGAGTTCGACAGCTGCGACACGGCGTCCTCGGGCTTCCTGGGGCCGCAAGAAGTGACGGCGCTGTGCAGGAAGTTGCATCTGGACGCTCACCTGCCGCTCATGCTGGACTCGCTGCTGGGAGGAGGAGGAGGAGGCGGGGCCTACGCCAGGGTGAGCTCACAGCACACCAACGCTCGTGACCTCACATCAAAGGCTTCACGGCCACCTGAAGGCTCGCAACTGGCAGAAATGTTGATGGTTGTTTTCCAAAGCCCAAGCAGATGTTTGCAAATGTCTTATTTGGAAAAAAAGGCTTCTATGGAAGATTTGCTGTCGTTTCAAAAACAAAGAAGATATTTGCAAATGTCTGGGTGTGTGAAAAAACATCAGTCTGGTTTCCTGGAGGACGACAGAAATTGGAGAATATTGAGAGGCTGAAATGACGAAGATTTGGGCAACCGGAAACTGAATCGCTGATCAAAATGTTTCTCGATGAATCATTGAACTTGTGGTCCTGTGAGGGGTGCTAACAGGAAGCGACGTGTGTCTTGGACCTGCAGGTGGACTTTGAAGCGTTCAAAGACAACTTTGTGGAGGTTTTGTCTCGCTCGCTGGACTTGACGTCCGATGACGACAGCAGTTACCTGCAGCCAGGTGAGGAGCGCTAACGCCAATCGCCGTGCGTCACGTCACGGCTTCGTTGACCTTCTGCGCGTGTGTCTGTTGGTGCGCGCGTACGCGTGCAGTTGTCGTCGACGAAGTGAAGCCAAAGTTCACGAAGGGCCAAAAACGTTATGGCCGCCGCTCGCGTCCCGACGTGACGCCGTCGCAACCGTCGGCCGGCTCGCCGGCACCCGGCGGCAACGCCGCCCGGACGTCGCCGACGGGGCTCCGCGGGTCCAAAGTCCGCCGAGCTGCCTCTCTGGACAGTGTGGAGGTGAGGCGTTGTCATGACAACACACACACACACACACACACACACACACACACACACACACACACACACACACACACACACACACACGGCAGGTTACGCATGTTTGTTGCAGTTCAACACAACACTGTGGTGCCTTGAGATGTGAGTTGAATTCATTCCGTCAGCTTGCTTGTATCTCAAATCATCTTTTCCCCATTGAAATGAATTCAAATGCCATTCAGCCCTTCCAGCCCTGAAATTTTTGTTTGTAACGTGCTTTTTGACGAAGAAAAATAGCACTTTATGCTTCATGAAACAACGAGTAAACAGAAATCCTCCATTGTCCGAGTTGCTTCTGCTCATGACGTTCAGGAAACGGGACGGTGAGGAAGGTCAGCGCTGGTGGTTCACGCCTCCTTTTTGCTTCGCTTCAAATCAAAGCTTGCAGCTTTCGTGTTCGGCCCTCTGACATTCCACACGTCGCATTCCTCACGTTGCGCTGCAGATGTTTGGCTTTCCGCGCTGATTCGCCCAAAAAAGGCTTTGGGAAGGGCACAGCATTTCGCTCTTTGGAGAACTTATTCCTGCCGGAGTGGCAAAGAAGCTTGCGCTGTGTAACGCTGCTCAAAAACTTGCGCCCTCCAAAGTGACGGAATGCCACGTTTTCTCAAGTATCGCTTCAATTGCTCAACTGTGTTGCGTGTGCAGTGTTGCAAAGTTAGAAAAATGTTCCAAGATTCCTAATAAGTCCCCGAAACATCTTTGAAACTCCTCAAAAATGCAAAGAATCCGAAGTCGTTTCATCAGCTCTCATTCCACTGCTTTGACTCATGTTTTTTGTTTTTTGTCTTGGCATCGTTTCCGTACCAGTATCGAGTACCGCTTCTTTCAGACTGAAACCACTACTAATATATATTTTTTATGAGTATGCAGGACTTAGCAAAGTCTTAGCCTTTATAGTTGAAGCCTTTGGGGATTATCAAATGTCATTGAATATCGAGCGTTTGACATCCCAACCGCTAGACTGAAGGATGGAAGCCGACTGGTTTGATTCGGTTTGATGACATACGAGACTCGATGCGCCACGGAACGGATTGAAAGTCAAATAGATGGCACGCGTGATCCAAGGGAGGAGTCCGCAACGCACCGTCAATAAATCCGCTTCTGCGTCTTAAGCTAGCGATCGCTCAATACAGATCAATAGTTGGGGACTCAACCGCCCACATACATGTTGTGTTTTACGCCGGTGGCGCCAACGGTATTTTGTAATTCCACATGCATCTGTGGAACTCGACAGGCGCGCGCCGTCTCCGTGGCCCAAACGCGAAGCGGGTCACGAGCGCCTCGGGGAATGGGAGAGAGAGCAATCGGAAGCCATCCTTTCACAAGCGCATGTTTCTCTATCTATTGAAGGGAATAATGAACCTCCCGCCCGTTCCACCTTCTGTGTGTAGTTGGACACAGAGTAGGCGCGCCTTGGCTTTTTCTACCAGAACGAGCATCAAAACATGCGTTCGCACTGTGCGACCGGATGCAATTTTGAGCAGCTCGCAAAACGGGAGCATTTATTGCGAGCATGTTGGGCGCACTGTTGAGCTCTGGCGTGATTTTCGCCAACACAACAGCAGCAGAACACTGTCGCATCCAAAGAAATAACTCAGGTCTGAAGTTAGGACGAGCGCACTGCTCGTCTTTTTCCCACCAAGCTGCTTCATCACGTCAAGCTCCCGAAAAATCACACGCAGTCACACGCAATGCGACACGGATGAATTCACTCATGTTCAAAGTAAACTTTCCCTACTAAAGACACAAAGAGGAATTTCCGCACTGCTGCGCTGCTCGTTCTTCCAATGGGCAGCTGAACACGTGTTGAACATGTGACCGACCTTTGACATATTCTTCGAATGGGTGGATGAACATGCGATGAACCCATGACAACAACATGTGATGCAATGAAGAAGTTGTCACGAACATGCTCCGTTTTGTCTGCAGAGCTTGAAGTCGGATGAGGAGGCGGCAAGTCCCAAGCACGGCACCTCGGCAGACTTTCAGCCAAAAGGTATTTCTCATTTTCATCCCTTTTCATTTCCGGTGGGCAGTGATGGGTCATAATGTCCTTTTGTTCATTTCGAGTCATTGACCACAAATTAATGGATGACAGATGACACAAATGAGCCCCAGAAGACTGAATTTAGGGGGTTTTGATTTCAGTTATTGGTTCCATCCGGACACAAAAAAGAAAAAAAAAAAATCACTGGGCTCAAATGACAGTCAAGGTTTTGGCCAGCAGTCTGTGAAACGCTTCACGTAGAAAAGCCGAAATGTCTGCAAACTCCGATCAATGGTCACCTAAACGTTATGTGGACATTTCTACTTATGTGTCACGTGCAAAGAACCCAACACGCTCACCTTGCCAATGTGTTCTGATGCCGCAGCTTCCAAGGAAGAAGGGGAGGAGTCAGGGTGTGATCACCTGATTGGTCGAGAGCCGGGCACTCAGGTCAGGCTGCGCCCACCGGTAGACGCGGGAACGCTCCTGGCTAATGCTATGCTAACCTTTGACCCTGCAGGTGCACGACAACTCGGAGCAGGTTACACTTGCGCACTTCCAGAACCTTCTGTGTGGCTCCTCCCCCATTTGCTGCTCGACACCGCACAGGGTCAGTCAGTCAGTCAGTCAGTCACACATCCTCAGATCAAATTGAGAACTCGGTTCTGGACTGTGGCAGGGGCGAGCGCCATATTGTCACTCAGTTTGACATCACATCGCCATGCAAGGCACTGCAACGCAATTGACAGCGCTTTCAATTGGCTTCAAGTCAAACAACAATGAAGGAAAGTCAAAATAACATACGAGTCAGCGTTGAAACGAAATTCATTCTGGATGAGACGGCATCCTCAAAGAAATGCGACGGCATAGTTTCCATCGGCACACCTGAAAAGCATCATCCAATCACAGCCCAGGGCCGCAGCTGTCAGTCAACTGGGCGATCGAGTGGGCGGGGCAGGCTGAGTGCACAGGCTCAGCAGGTGGACGGGCGGCTGCTCAAACGTTATGGCGGGCTGCGCTTTTTAAAAAAAAAATATGGTTCACCAGGACCTGCACCTCCTTCCGCTCACGTCAGCTGACCTGACGGCCAATCCTCTTAAACCGGGTCACATGACAACAGGCGGGTAGAGGGACATGGCGTTAATCTGTCGTTGATCACGTGCTTGTCTCAGTGCAGACGATTGTGAAGTGAAAGGTGTCGTGGTGTTTTCTGACCGCCGTCTTCCCCATGCAGACGCTGGCGGCGCCGGAGGACGGGTCGCGACCGGAGGATCACTTGGCCCACCGCACCTCGCCGTCGCTGTTGACGGCCACGCCAGATCCCAAAGTCCTCAGCCGGCTGGATGACGGCTCGGGTTGCACCAGTCCCGAGAGATTGGTCGCTCTTTGGACGGACGAGGGCGTCCGCAACGCTCGTGACATCCTGCAGGTCAGTCCGGACGCCCTCACCTTACGCTTTACGCAGTGCTGCCTTGATGTACGAGTGACCCCGCTTTGGACTTTTGTCAAGATGCGAGCCATCGTTCATTCGGGCAATTTCTTTCTTCTTTTTTTTATTTGACTTGTGAGAGCAAACTTGAGGTCTGAGGATATTTTCTTCATCCTCAGTGAGAAGTGACTCCTTTTTGTGAGTTGAAGTATATTAGCAGGAGTCTATTCAGCCTGGCTTGTGTTTGTTATGCTGCCTCCCAGTGGCCAAGTTGAGCACAGCAGGAGCAGCAACAACAAATTGAACGAAGGCATTCAAACGCTTGAATTGTTTACATTGGCTTGAATTAGGTTGCTCCATTGTGTTTTGATAAAGTACAATAATATCCCAGATGTTAGTTTTGATTTTAAGGACAGTCTGGAGTGCATTCGTGGCATTCTCATTCATTCCAGTGATTTACTTGGGTGGTCCCAGAACAAATTCAACTACTACATTCAGGTCAAGATGGTGAGAAAGGAAGGAAAATCTCAAGCCTGATTATTAAATCCTTGACAAGAATTCCTTAATCCGGATCAGCGGCAAATGGACGGTGGCACTTTGAACAATGGGAAATGTGCAATTCTCTATTTTCCTTGGCTGAGGTCGGAGGAGTAATGCGATTTGTTTGTGCAGACGCTGGACTTCCCTGCGGAGGAGCGCGTGAGTTTGTGTGAGCTGACGCTGGCCCTCGACAACGAACTCCTGGGCAGCGGCAATGGAATCCACCACGTGGCACTCATCAGCTACAAGAATGAAATCCAGCACCTACGGTCAGCCGGTTGCTCCCCATCCTGCCGGCCTTCACCGACGTGGTGGTCACGGCCGCACCGTGCGCTTTCAGGGAGTGTTCGGAGCAGGCCCGCGGCGAGCGCGACAAGGCCAAAGCCGACCTGGACCGGGCCGAACGCAGGAACCTGCAGTTGCTGCGCGAGGCGGACGAGCGTCTCGCAGGCACGGAGGCACTCAGCCGGACCAGGATCAGGTGAAGAAAAATGCAAGTCGCACTGCTGCACCGTGATTGGTCACACGTGCTTCACGTTGCTCTGTGATTGGCAGAGAGCTGGAGCAGGACTTTCGGGAGCGTCTGACGGCACAGCGCGGCCAAGCGGAGCAGGAGAGCGATGCTGCTGCGCAACAGCTGGAACAGGAACGCCGAGAACTGGGACGGCAACTGAGCGTGCTCGAGGTGCGGGAGGCGGAGCTACGAGAGGAGCTTGCTGCTGCCGCGCAGGTATGTCAGTGAATGAGCCCGCCCACCTCACCTTACTTCCACTCTGGTGGTGTTGTGCTTTTAAAAAAGTTTTTTAAAAAGGTGTGCGCGGTGAGCTACAAATTGAGGTTTTCCAGCTATGAGGTTTGGTTTATTTTTATTTTATTTTCTGCTTTGTATTGAGAGCCAAAATTCCACCCGGGATTCAGATACACTGCCACTCAAGTGAAGAGAAAATTAATTTTCTCTACAAGTCACTTAGAAGTGCGAGCCACATCCTTCAAAATCCAAGTGATCATTATTGTTCTTGTTCTGCTTAGGAGAAGGCTCATCTGGAGGAGGAGCTTGGGGACCTCAAGCACAGGCTGAGTGAGGCAGAAAATGGCTCCCAACGTCTGCGAGCCGACTTGAAGCAGCTGCTGCACCACAAGGTGATGCAAAATAAAAACTTTCCCGAAGGGGCATTTTTCTTTGGAGGCCATTACAGAGTTTGTTAGGTTGCCACATTGATTTTTTTTTTTTTTTTTTTTAAATATGTCATGTCAAAGGAGGAAAGACACACAGAGAAAGGGGGTGTCGTCAAGGACAGCGTACTGTGTAGTGCAACATTTAGCACCTAATCTTGGTCTTCAACTCCAAAACTGTGCTGATGGCCAATCCAAAGTGACACAACGTCGCCATCTGCTGGCATGTGCTTGTCAATACGGTTACATGTGTATGTTGTTATGTTAAGGGGAAGATAAAATAAGACTTGCCTTCATTTCATTCTACATTAGAGAATATTTGTATTAATATATATTTTTCCCTTTTTATAGAAATGAATGAAATGTAGAAGCGTGCACTTCACAGACAAACTGGCTGGAAGCCTCTTCCACACCTCAACCAACCTATTTGTCGGTGGCAGTGAAGGCTTGTATCCCAGCCGACCAATTCAAACGTCCCTGGCCGTCAGTCAGCGGCGGGTTTTCGGCCGCATGACGTCACTTCGACCTCATGTGGTGTCCAAATTCGCATTCAGTCTGCCTTTTTAGAATTTGGAAACCACGTGCGCTCGAGTTGCGCCGGAAGGGTCGTCATGCGGCCTTCGGAGGACGAAGCCTCTGAATTCGGACACGGCCTCTTTTTCCCTCCTGGTAAACGCGACAGTGAGGTTGCCAATAAGTAAATGAGACTCACCCGCGGTGTCAGGTGTCCTCTCATCAAAGATGGAGGAGGACTCGCCCGGATGACCTTTCATCTGCTCTCTCTCTGATTGGCAGTTTGGCGGCTTGGACGACGTCGGCGCGGCACTCAACCCCGAAGACCAATTCGCGCGACTCCTGCAAGACTCCGAGCGCCAGTGCAGAGTAAGAAAAGAAGTGCACATTTACTTCCCGTGGCGTGACGAGCGCGTCCTTGCTGACCTGAGTGTACTTTCGTGATGTCTTCAGGAGCTGCGGGACAAAAACGACGAGCTGTGCGTTGAGTTGGAGTTGCTAAGGAGTCACAAGAAAAGCCACAGGAAGTCAGTCGAGCGCGTCGTCGCGCTAAGCCGGTCTGAACCGCCATCTTCCAGCGAGTCCGAATCTGGTGAGTCCATTTCTTCGGAAACCATTGTTGGATGATCAAAATTTGTGGCTGTTCCAAGCGGCCATTCCGTCATTTTAGGGAAATCTCGTCCTGTCGCCAATTCTACTGACTGAAGAGCAGTCGTCATTCCTGCCTCCCCAGGCACCACAAAGGGATTTTTAGTGGGCATTTTTCGGGCATTATCTCGGGCCTCAGGTTGAAGTGTCATTATTGGGGGGAGGGGCCTGTCGGGTTGCCACCGACGGTTCAAAAAGACACCGACTTGGATACAGACAACACACTTCGAATGCAACTAAGTGGCGTCATCAGAAACTGGATTCTAATTCCTGCTCGGCCAGTTGGATGGGGTGCATGCACACACACACACACATACACACACACACAGACGTTGGCGTGATTGAGCGTACGTGCGTCCTAGTTGCAGACAGTCTCTCGTGGCTTCCGTTGAGGATGAAGTCTGATGAACAACTTTCGTGCGTTTTGACCTTTTCAGATGATCGTGACATGAAGCGCCGCTCGTCTTCTCCTCGTCGCGCCGCAGTCACTCCGGATGACGCAAGTCAGTTCTTCTCATTTTGTCTTTCCTTCACAATTGTGTAGAAAGCAGAAATTAGCCCCGCCGGCCGTCCCGTACGTAGCGCTTGACTTTTGACGACTCGCTTGACAGTGGCGGCCGTCAGCATCGAAACGGAATTTGCGGTGGAGAAGCTGAAGGCCAAACACAAGCAGGAGATCCAGCAACTCAACGTCCAGATGGAGACGCAGGTAGACAAAAGCGCTCGGGTCAGGCTTGACCTTCGCGTACGCCGCTCTTCCTCTTCCTCTTCCTCAGGTCAACTACTACGAGCGCAGTCTGGACAGGATGAGGCAGAGCATGGAAGTGGAGCGCAAAGACATCGCTCAGGCCTTCAAGGTGAGCCGCACATCCGTCCTATGACGTGTAAGCCGTCGCTCGATGCGTCCTTGACACGTTCTGTCGCGCGCCGTGATGTGAGACGTGGTCGGATGATGTCAAACATGTCACGTGACTTGTTCCGTAACGCGTCTTTGACCTTCCAGCTGGAGATCAGCGAGCTGGAGGATCAGAAGGCCGAAGCGGAGCGTCAGGCCAAGATTCTGAAGGAGGCGCTGGACAAACTTCACAATCGGCTCCAACACGGCAGCTGGTCTTCGGAGATGGAGCGCAGGTGAGGCAAGACCGGCGTCCGCCGCCGCCGTCGCCACATTCTTGGATGTGACGTCAGGAAGCGTGCGGCTCGCTTTCCCAGGATGCAACGGGAGCGAGCCGACTCTGAGCAGAACTTCGCCCGAGAGATCGGAAACCTGGTCCAGAGGCTGAGCACTGAGAAGGACCAGCTGGAGGCGGAGCTTAAACTCAAGATGGACCAGGAAGTCATGAATGTCAGGTGGGCGCTGATGTTTTTTCCAAACGGTCATCTATGTTTTGTTCTGCACTTTTTTGTTCGTTTGCAATTTGTTTTTTTTAATTTGTGCTCCTTTGTTCATTTGTTTTTGTTTGGTGTGCCAGTTTCTCGTTTGCGCTGCTGTGTTTGTTTTTGTCGTTTGTTTCTTTTGGGTTAAGCTCACATTGTAGCATTGTGAGCAGGGAGGAGGCGGCGCTGGAGCTCTCGCAGATGAAGCTGCATCACGCCGAAGGTCAGCGCCGCCTGCTGCACCAGGTGCACCTGCAGCGGCAGAGACAGCAGCAGTGGGACAAGAGGAGGCAGCAACAGCTCCGGCAACAAAAGACCTGCCTGGAGCGGGAGAAGAAGAAGATGGAGGAGAGAAGGCTGCAAGAGGAGGAACTTATCCAGCAGGAAAAGAGAATGCTGGAGGAGGAGAAGAGCAAGATGGAGGAGGAAGAGAAGAAGGGGATGGAAGAGAAGGAACATCTCCGGCAGGAAATGATACGGATGGAGGACCAAATGAAGAAAATGGAGGAGAGGACCCTGGAGGAGCAGAAACATCTCCGGGAAGAAAAGAGGAAGCTGGAGGAAGAGCTGCGTCCCCTGAGGGAGCAGCAGGAGGCGCAGGACTGCAGCCGGCGTTTTCAGCCAAAGCAAACGCTGCAAGACTCTGAGCAGGAGGTCCGACCGGAGGAGAACGTCTCCCGGCCACGGCTTTCGCGGCAGCCTCTGACCTCACGTGACAGCTTTGACCGGGAGGAGCCAATCTGGCCGCAGAAGCTTGAGGACCAGGAAGTCGTCCATCCGGAGGCCCAAACGATGAACCTTAGCCGGGAGCCAAGGGAGTGGGCCACAGAGCCTGACGGTCTCCATGTAGGGCTCCTGCAGGAGGCTCTGAAGCGGGAGCGCGCCGCCGTCTCGCTGCTGCGTTCCAGCCTGGACCGGGAGAAGGAGGAGGTGGTACGTTTGAGCCTGGAGAAGCGCGGCTACATGACCATGGCGGACCAGCTCTCTGCTCAGATTGTGGAGATGGAAGAGGAGATGGAAGCCCTGCAGGAGGACACCAAAGTCGGCCGGCGCGCCGAACACGTCGAAAGCTTTGAGTCCTTTGAGCGGGACAAGCAGAAGATGAAGAAACAACTTTTGGAGATGGAAAACCTGGTTGTTCTACTCCAGGACCTGGACCGAGACCACAAGGCTCCCCCAAGGTTTGTGGAGCATCATGCCGCTCCCTCCGATTGTAATCTCCATGATCATGTGATCACGCCAATGCTGCCCCGCAATGCACCTCAGCTCGCCGCATCAGCAACAGATTCATCGGCATCATTATCATCACTAACCCAATCGCCAGCATGGACACCTTCGAGCTTCATTTTACACGTGCATTCGCTAATTTGTTTGTATGCGTGTATGCGTGCGTGCAGGACCCATCTGGAGGAGGCACGCTCTGACAACGCCGCCCTGCAGGAGCGTCTTTGCGTCCTGCAGCAGGAAGTTGACAAGCTGGACGACGAGGTTGCCAACAAAAGGCCGGTGACCTCTGAACCTTCACAGAAACCGTTCACAGCTAATCGAGGGCTAGCCACGCCATCTTTGACGAGGTTGTTTCTCGGCTAATGGGGTCTTGGATGCGGTTGTTCCAGGAGGAAGTTGGAGGAGATGGAGCAGCATCGTGAGAGCAGCAGACAGGAAGTGGAGAGGCTACATCAGGAGGTGAGAACATGTCCCAGGAACCTCTGACCCATGATGACGGGTGATCTCTTCCCCTTGCGTGCATGTCAGATGGCGACATACCGACAGGAAGTGGTCAGTCTGAGCGGTAGAAACGCTGAGCTGAGCGCCGCCAACGCCGAGCTTAGCGCGCGCCTGCAAGAGCGGCAGGAAGGACACAAGGCCCGGGTGAGGAGAGAGCGATCCTCGGACGCTGCCGCATGCAGCTGGGCACTCCTTTCACAATAAAACCCGCCTCTTCCTGTGTCGCAGGTGGTGCAACTGCAGGAAGAGGCGCAGCTTCAGCGGGAGCAGACGCTACGGCTGGAGGAGGAGCTTAGTGGCTGCAAGCGCAAGGTTGGACGGCCAGCATCTTATGGCATTGATGAGCAATTATATCTCATTTTGGTGGGCTGGCGAGGACCCCCACACGCAAGTCAGCGAATGTTGTTCTACGTCTCAGGTGAGCGAGATGGAGGCGGAGCTTAGCGCGGCTGTGGCCGAGAGGCAGAGGATGAAGGCGGAGCTCCGGAGAGAAGACGCCCTTGGCGGTGACAGGGTAAGTCACGTGACACGGAAGAGAGGGGCACGACGCTTCCCGGTGTTTTCACATTTCAGGCGGAACATCTGCCCCGAGACGCGCCCTCGTCACGCCAGGACGACGAGAAGCTCGGCCACGCCCAGGAAGTGACCGATCTGCGCAGGAAGCTGCAAGATTCCCACAGGAAGGTGAGGATGCCCGGAACGGATACTGCGCTGTCATGGAATGTTGGTGGCTTCACTATTCCCAACAGTGAGTCAGCGGCATTATTAGTCCAAATATATAGAAGTCCGTGGCTTCAACGCGTTTGTCTGGTTTGGTGGCAGGCGGAGGAGATGGAGTCCAGCAACAGGAAGTTGATGAAGGACAACCAGGAGAAAGACACGCACAATCAGCAGCTATTCAAGCAGGTTAAAGTGCGCGTCAGCGCGTGCGCATACGCGCACCCGCCTAATGCACGCGTGTGTGTTCAGGTCCAGCAGCTGCTCCAGGATCAGCAGAAGCTGAGCAAGCAAGTGGCGCGCTCACACATGGCCCGGACGCAGGCCGAGGGGCAGGTCAGACAACCACCTTCATCATCATCACCATTATCATCATTGCCATGGTAACCCTTCCTCCCCCAGGCTGATGTGGCGCTCGGTCTGGTGCAGCAGGAAGGGGCGGGGCTCAGGGAGAAGGCAGAGCAGCTGCAGGCTCAGCTGCAGGAGGAGCAGAGGAGGAGTCTGCGGCTGGAGGAGGAGCTACACCTCTGTGCTCGCCAGAGCTCCGCCCACATCAGCCTCAAGGAGGTGAGCGGCTTTCCCGAGAACTAACTAGCCAGCGAGTAGCTTAGCCACATGCTAACTAACTAGTGGCTGTGTGACTTAGCCGTGTGCTAATTAACCAGGAAGCGCTAACTAGTTGGCTAATGAATGAACATTTTGCTGATTCTGTTCTGAAATGTGGCGGCTTTGCACTCTGACTACCTTGCGTTGCGTTCAGGAGCAGCACGAGAAGGCACTGGCGGCGGCACAGCAGAAGACGCAGGAGCTGGAAGTCAAGCTGAAGGCATCTCGCGTTGTCCTGAATGAGAAGGTCCAGCAGCTCCAACAGCAGGTCAGTCGCTCGTCTTTCCACAGGAACGTGACAAGTGGTTGTCCATCTTGTGGGATTTTAAATAAACGGTCCAAGACTAAAGACTAAGCACCTAAAACCTGTGACTTTCACACTCAGGTTCACGGCAAATATATAATTGTTTGCATACTACCAATCCATTTGGGTGCGAAACATGTCGCTGTCCATGCGGTTTTCTGTGGTTCGCTGAGATCCAAAGGCGCCCGTGTCTTAACAACGGTTGGGCCGTCGTCTCGTCCGCAGATGGCGAAGAACGTCAAGTCGAGCGTGATGTTGAAGGAGCTCTACGTGGAGAACTCGCAGTTGATGAAAACGCTGCAGCAGACTGAACGGCGTCACAAAAACGCCCAGCAGGACAAAATGGTGCTGGAGGAGAAGGTCTGCGCCCTCAACCGGCTGCTCGAGGACATCGTGCCGGCCGCGCTCAACGTGTAGACGCGGATGGTGTTGCCTCCCCTTTGCTACTCTTTGGTGACCCAATGAGCCCTTTTTTGCTGTTTCCACATTGCAAAAAAGGTGATTTAGTTGTCACGTTGACAATCCTGTTACAAGAAATTTGTTTTGGTGGTCAACACCATGTAGGGCCTGCACCTGTATCAGGTGGCTTCCCAACGCCATCCCGGATATTCTTATTCCTCAATTTGAGTTTTGACAGAATTCCACATTTACTACCCTTTCATTCCTAATAAAACATTGAACAACAACAACAAGGAAAGTCTGCATCTATCCCATTGCAATCTTCACCTCATTCAAACGGCCTAAAAAAACTCTGCATTCCAAATATTTACGCCTAAGCCACATTTCAGTTCATACAAAATTATTGTGACGGATTTCAACCATTCCAAACACAACTTGCTCGTTTAATTTCACACTTCATGCGTGGCCAGACAAGACACAAACGCAGACCAACATCGTTAACAGGATGGCAAACAGCTGCTGCACTTTGCTCGGCAACGCCCCCTGTCGTCCCGGAAGAGGAGTGCAAGTGGTCGCTCAGTGGACGACATGCTCCAGGATGCCTTGACGAATCAAGTGCTCGCATTTCCAGCGTGGCAGGAAGTGCTGTGGACACACGTGTCATTTGACTTGCACTTCCTGCTACTGCCTTGACAGGAGGAAAAAAAAAAAAAAAGCCGAGTTGTGACCTGACCTGACTGTTTTTCTTGAGAAGCACGAGCGTCCCGTCGTCGATCTCCAGCTCGCCGTGATCCTTCACGCACCTGACCTGATGATCCAGGAAGACGTCAGCTGCGCTTGTGCAAGAGCTCAGTGGAAACATGCTACTCAGGCTGTTTCCAAATCCATAGGCTGCATCCTCGTTTTCGGCCACGGTGTCACTTCCGGCGCGACTTGACCGCCGTCCAAATTCACAGTTGGCCTGTCCAAATTCGCCACGGTTTCTGCAATCCCCAGAGGCTACATGAGGACGAGCCTTTGAAGGCGTCCAAGGACCCAATTGTCTTTCTCAAATTTGGAAACCACACACACCCCTCACTTGGCCTTCACGCGGCCGTCAGAGGATGCAGCCTGTGAATTTGGACATGGCCTTTGTGTGTGCGCTGACCTGGATGTAAAGACTCTTGGGCGGCCTCATGTCCTGCGTGACGTCCAGTCCGCCGCCTCCGCCCAGCGAGCGCATGAATGAGGCCAGCGATTTTTTGTAGCACGTGAACCACTGCAGCTGCGCACACGAAAGCCACGGGGTCAGGAAAGGTGGCGCCGGTGGAAAAGCGACACGAGGCTCGCCGGCTCACCTCTTCGGCGCTCATGTGGAAGCGCACGTTGGCGGGAAGCACGCTGCCGTATTCCCAGCGCAGAGCTCGGATCCGCAGCAACCGGTCGTACCTGAGGACGCGCTCGTGTCATCGGGAGGGAAGATGCTCACTCACAGGCAGTCGTGGAGGACGACTTAGCGCTTTCGTTTACTAGATTCAGCCACTTTTCAGACGAGCTGAGTGACACAATTGGTTACGATGGCATTTTAAAATAGTTGGCAACTTTGCCTCAAACGCCACCTTTTACACATTTGGCCTCCAAACACCAAATTGTTTCTCTGCTTGTGAATCGTGTGAGTTGAAACTGGACAACTACAGCTGGAGATATGCAACATTTTTAGAAGCGATCATCCCATCGATTAATGAAAAGTTATTTTGCATTCAAGGTTATTGGCAAATATATTTTGCACTAGTCGAATTCTTCGGCTGCTTCAGTTTTGTCAGAAGGCGGTGGCGGCGTGCGATGCTTACAGGTAGGCGCCGACGCAGCGTTGGTTCCTCAGCAGGCAGCAGTGACGCAAGCGGATGGAGGGCAGCAAGTCGGCTCTCTGCTCGCTTTTGGTCTCGTTTCTGCAACGTAAACGCGAGCTCGTCCGTCACGCAAGTTGCACAAGTCGCCCGCGCGAAGAGCCGAGACGTACACGTCAGCCTGGTTGTGTTCGTAAAGTGCCTCCATCTCCTGCAGCACCTGTCGCACGCCGTCCTCCTGCTCACACGCACACGGGACAACAGGGACCGAGTCACACACGCACACACGCACTCTTCGGGTCGTGAAAATACTTGCAGGGCACGAAGGGATTCAAGTGGTGCACGTCAAGCGTATTGTATGCAACTTGGCTGCAATTGTGCATCCCAACCAGAAAACACGGCGCCTGCTTCGATGCGGCATCTTCTCGAAGCGCGCAGGAAAATACGTAAAGGGAGCGGCGGCCTTATTTTGTCTCACGTTGAAGGCGGGAAGTTGTCCGTCGCTGATCCGCTGAAGCTCTCGAATGAGCTCGACGGCTTTCTCGCAAAACATCCTGACGAGCTAAAGGTCACAGCACACCTCAACCCGCGACAAGAAACCAATACATAAACAACGAGGAGAAAGAAGACAGCAAGCAAGCAGAAACAGCTGACGTTTGCCTCTAGCGCCAAAAAAAATAGTATTTCCGGCGTGGTGGTCACGTGACGCTCCGGATGCCGCTTCGGGACAAACTTTGTCAATTTGCAAAAGAGAAATTCATGCGACACCACAAGTTATCCAAGATGATAACCACCGTCTTCTTTCTCATTGTTTTAATATAAGGTGAGACTTGTTGCACGCCCAAACACGCCCGACAAATGTAATAGGCACATTTGAAGAAAACACAAAAAGACACGTGACGACTGTCACCATCGGAGCTGCTTTTCCGTCTTGTGCCTTCCCGTACCCTAAAAAGTTTAGCCTGCGTAAATCCATGCTAGCAAGGAGTTTATCGAGTATGTTAACGTTCCACAATTGTCTTTGAAAACCAGCTTTAGCACTGACGTTGATATCTCATCGAGGCTTTCAAGTAAAAGTAAAAAAATTGGATGGATGGACGTAGCCTAATGTTGTGGGTGGTTGAATCAGACTCTTCAAACGTTGCGCTGTCTTCTGATTTCATGAGTGTCAGCGGTTGTGGGAACTGGACCGTAATACCTTTAGAGAGCGACTTTTGGAGCGTTTGTGTCGTGACGTCAATGATTATGATGAGTTGAGCTCATCAAATAATTATTTTCCTGCGGTCCTCCTTACATTGTAAAATGACCACCCGAGAGAGCCCGGCGGAAAACGCATGTTGAGGAAACACAGACACGATATTCGCCTTCGCCTCATTCAGAATACAGCGCGTTTCTGCTTCGTCTTTGCGCGTGAACGAGGTAGCATGAAGGCCTCTTGCTAATGCTGCATTCGTGGAAGATGGGAAGTTGGACTTTTTCAATTTCCGAATAGGAAACGTGCAAGCGAACGCCCCATTTCAAAGTACGAGTTGCACAGTGGGATAAAAGGAACCCGACACGACGATGGCGACCCAATGGAGACACAGACCGTGAATGGCAAAACGTCATTTATTTTAAAAGATTAAAAACATATATTGATTTGGCATCGATTTGATTATTCCAACTAATTTACGTAACACAACGTGATTTGTACTGACTGCGTGGAAATGCCACTCTCTCGCTGAATGAAGTGATTTGGTGACATTAATAAAATGCCTTGAAGATAAGATATTCCTTTATTTATCTAAATTAAGGAAAATGTGGGTTGCTGGAGGTCAAAATGTGTTGAGATGAACCAAATCGGAATTCGCTATCTTCTTTGTTTTACTTTCTCCTCGAATGCTTTGAGGTCGGAACGAAGACGATCCCAGTGGGATCATCGTACTCCGACTTCCCACTTTTCACGAATGCAGCAGCGGTCGCGCGTTTTATTTCCCACCTTCCACCGAGACAGTGAATGCGGCGCGGTGGTCGTTGATTGGCTGTCCCTCATCCGCTCGCTGTGCTCCTCAACGCCCGGACTCAGTCGCCCGCCGCCAGGCCAAGACGAGTGTCGGTCGCCCGGCGTCCGCGAGCCGCCCCTCCCCTTGCCCCCTCCCTCTCTCCATCTGATGCTCGCTTTGCAGACATGCGGAAGCGGAGAACGTCGTCGACGACCGTGGAGCAAGAGGAGGGAGACGAGGCGCTCGAGGACGCCCCCGAGGAGACATCGCGGCCCGCGGCCTATTCTATGTCCGACATGAAGACCTTCGCCGGGCCACGCAGGTTCCGTTCCCATTTTGCAATTTGCCGACGCTCGCTTGCCTGCTTTGATTTGCTCTGATTTGGCTTTCAAACTGCGCAACAAGATGGTTATGTAAAGGTCACATATTCTATGGACGAAGAAGAAAGAAGTCAAAAGAAAGAGGTCCGAGGTGGCCGTTCGTGTTAAACATTTCCAAGCGGACGTGAGTGGCTCTGGATGAGCTCCAGCATGGTGCTGGTCAGACTTGTTTGCTTTTATGGCTGAGCAGGTCGGACCAGCCCGCAGCCAGCGGCCTCTTCATCACATTGGCCACCTTTCAGCCACGCACGCAAGCACACAGCGCTTAGTGAACCTCACATGACAAATGAGCCATGATCAAGCGCTTGTTAGCCACTTCTCGTCGACATCATCACTTCATCACCGCTGTCTGTCAAAAAGCACTTTGTTCAACCTTCTCTTCTGGTGTGTTCAAGTCAGGTGCTTGTCCCAACTTTTCACCCACCATCTTGACCAACATTAGAGTGCAGTGAAGTAGTAGGGCTAAGCGTTCATCAAAAAAAATGACATTCAGGCGTTTATTGAGTAGTGCAAGCCACCATAATCGTAGACATGATTTGAACGGTAACACTGTGCCCAAAAAATGGGGGGAAAAAAACAACTCTTGGCCAAATATTTCACCTTGCGGTGAAGACGAGTCGACAACTCACCGGGTCTGGAATTCCACTAGCCACCACTGAGCGCATAGCTCCCTTGCAAGTGTTCTTTTTTTAATCTCTCCTAGTCTGCAAAACTCTGGCGCTAATTGGATTTACCGTGCACGTGTCAAGTGGATGATGGGGAAGGGCGATATGAAGCAGTCAAGTAGACGCAAAAGAGTAGCAGCTTAGTGGACTCAGAAGTGAGTCAGCAAATGTCTGTAACATTGGTCACTTTTCCTCAAAGATGAACACTGCGTGCCTGGGAGGGCCGTCATATTATCAGTCTACATGCGTTGCATCATCTGTTGCCGGAGCAACACGTCTGTCGCCTTTTGTGAGTGATAATGCTAACTGTTAGCATGTCAGTGGTGTTTTCTACGATAGGTTAGCATGAACTTGGCAGGCCATTCCGAGGGTGCTATGTCCAAAGACACTGTCGGGTAGTGGGCGTGTCTCAATCTCTTCTCGCTCTTCCCTCGTGATGAAGACGTTTGCCGACTGACCTTTTGAGCCGCACTCTGTCCCGTGACTTTGCAGGCGTGGCCCCGTGTCCAAGGTGAAGCGCGCGGCCAAGTGGCTGCTGATGCTCTACGTGTGCGTGCCCTTCGTCGTCAAGCTGTGCCCGTCCATTCAGGCCAAACTGGTCTTCCTCAACTTCGGTAAGTCCCCCGGCGGCCGTCGTGGAGTCCACGCCGCCTCACGGCCTGCCCTGTCGTCCCCTCAGTGAGGGTCCCCTTCTTCCTCGATCTCAAACGACCTTCGGACGTGGGCCTTGACCACACGCTCAACTTCTACCTGCAGCCGCAACAGAAGCTCCGCATCGGAGTGTGGTGAGAACATGCGCGCGACGTGATGCTTTATGTCTCTGTGGATGTATGCGTATGCACATCTCGGCTGTCTCGGCCTGGGTGCGTATGCGCATGCATGTACGTGTGCACGTGTACATACGAATCTATCTGACGCGTCTGTGTGTCAGGCACACGGTTCCTGCAGACATATGGAGAGAAGCTGGCGGCCAAAGCCAAGAATGGTTTGAATCGACATTAAGCTCCGCCCACCCAGCCATCCTCTATCTCCATGGAAACACAGGGACCAGGTTACACACACACACACACACACACACACACACACACACACTGTTGTTTGGGCGCCGGGGATCACACCTCACATCGTTTGTGCGCAGAGGCGGCGACCATCGAGTCGAGCTGTACAAGGTAAGCCGGCTGTCGGCCGCCATGCCTTTTGCTGGATTGAGGATGAGGCCAAAGCGGCGGCGCCCCCGCCTGTCTTCTTTCAGGTCCTCAGCTCATCCGGCTACCACGTGGTCACCTTCGATTATCGAGGTGAGAAAAGCTGCGCGACTCCCAGCGCCACGTCCGTCGCTCGGGCCTTCACGCTCGGCGTTCGCACGCAGGCTGGGGCGACTCGGATGGGTCGCCGTCAGAGGGCGGCATGACGGCGGACGCTCTCTTCGTGTACCAGTGGCTGAAGGAGAGGCGGGGTCAAGGCCGAGTGTACATTTGGGGACACTCGCTGGGAACGGGGTAAACGGCGTACTCCCAACTATGCCGCGCGCCCACTGAAGCTCCGCCCCTTCCTCACTTGTCGTGGCTTTTGTGTTCCAGCGTCGCCACCAACCTGGTCAGGCGATTGTGCGACGGAGGTAAGCCACGCATGTACGCACACATCGCAGGGCCGTATATGAGCCGGTATGGCCCAGCCGGTTGGGACACACGAGCCAAAAGCGCTTCAATCCGTCCAGTGAGGTGGCCACCGTTTTGCTTTGCAGGAAGTCCCCCGGACGCTTTGATCCTGGAGAGTCCTTTCACCAACATCCGCGAGGAGGCCAGGAGTCACCCCTTCGCCACGGTAACGCCCACGTCGCGCCGTGGCCACGGGTTAAGTCGCGTGACGCTAACGTGAGCGTCCGCCTTGTCGTCGTCAGGTGTACAGGTACTTGCCTGGCTTTGACTGGTTCTTCCTGGACGCCATCACCGCCAACGACATCCGCTTCGCCAACGACGACAAGTCAGTCAACTCCAACCTTTCCACGGGCACATCTTATCAAGCCGAATAGTGATGGATTCGAAAGTATTTGACGACTAGTCGATGAATTGGTGCAGTTGAATCCAAAATGCATGCACAGCATTTCCTTGATGTGAGCAGCATCTAGTGGACGCGGGAGGAAGTGCGGCTGATGTGATCATCCAAGCTTGTTGGGATTTTGTTTGTTCAGTGTGAATCACATCTCGTGCCCCGTGTTGATTCTCCACGCCGAGGACGACCACGTGGTTCCTTTCCACCTGGGCAAGCAGGTAGGGCGGCGGCCAGCTCGAGTCACGCCCGTGGCCCCTGTCCAATGTCGCGTGTGCCGTGTCCTCAGCTGTACGAGGTGGCAAAGCGCTCCAGAAGCCTGAGCGGACATAAAGTGGAGTTTGTGGCCTTCCCGTCGTCGTTGGCCTACAGGCACAAGCTCATCTACAGCAGCCCCCAGCTGCCCCGCATCCTCAGGTAGCCGCGCACGCTTCCCCCACCACCGCGACGCAAAAGTCAGTCAGGGTACTAAAAAAAACTTTATTTGATCTAGTAAGATAACTTTGTGGTTACAGAGAGACATTATACATTTGGTTATTAAATTTTTCCTCACACAATTCAGATTGTGGAAATCTTCTCATCTCCTAAGATTGGGCCTTTTGTTAATCTTACGTGGAGGCGTGCAATTTCTCATCACCCGTTCGGCCAGCTCCGTTACCGGAGGGCCGCCTTACTGCTTGTTTTCGGTGTGTCCCTCCTGCAACACCCCCCACCCCGATTCAAATGAGGAGCTCATCGGCAGAAGCCTGAAAAGGATCCTGATCCTTTGAATGGGCTGTGTCGCAGAAAGGACACACCTCAAACAAGCAGGACAGCCTCTCTGGAGGACTGACTACTATGTTGCGCCGTGGCCAAAACTCAGTTAAGAAAAAAATGTGGAATTTTGTTTTCAGTAATAACCTTTTTTTTTTGTCTTCCAGGGATTTCCTGGACACACCCCCTCCCAAGAAAGAGTAATCCACCCCCACCGCAGTCGCACACACTGTTGAAGATTTGATGTTGGCGTCGCTGCGGCGGCATCCAGTTTTGCTCAAGCGGCCGCTGCAAACGTCAACGTTTTAATGTGATGATGGTGTTTCACTTGAACGCTGAATAAAATGTTTCCCGTTTGCAGCGTGGCCTCCGTGACCCCACCCTCACAAAATAACCTGTTTTATTTTGTGGCGCCGGCGTACGCTCGGCTCACTTCCCACTTGAACGTTCTCCCAGCCGCTGCGTTGCATGCAACAAACCGATAGGCAATCACGTTGCCAAGCGTGTGAGGTCAGGAGGATCCCGAGGTGGCTTGTGAGTTTTGGCCGCTGCGCGCTGGGTCTGCGGGGGTCCCCTGGTAGATAATCTTGTTTTTCATACCGTGCTGGATCATCCTCTGCTGCGCTCGCTGCCTGGCGTTGCTGGCGCGGCAGTAGCACCTGCGCAAACGCAAAGCACACAGTCAGCACGAGGCACTTCCTGTCAGTGGCGTCTGCTGAGGAGCTTTCATTGCGACGGACGGGTCGACTCACCAGGAAGCCAAAGTGGCGAGCAGGAAGCCCCCCGCGCCCACGTCGAACGACCTCTTCACGCGACCTGCACTCATGCCGTCGGCGCATCATCATCATCATCATCATCATCGTCATCGGCGTACGGGCGGCCATGCATGCGTGCACCTACTGGTGGCCAAAAAGTGCAGGAGGCCGGCGGCCAATGAGGCACCAGCACCGTGAAGAACTGCCTCCCGGGCGCAAGGCGTCTTTTGCACATCGAGGATGCCCAGCAGGCGGTAGCCCTGTGTACACACAAACGTTCATACAAAAAAAATATGGGATGAATAAAATCACTTTTTGCTATGGTCCCTCACAACAAGTTAAAAAAAAAATGGAAGCAAGGGCAAGCACTGTCGTGTCGGGCGCCCTTTTGGCCTTTTTTCAACTTCACAACACAAATAAAAAAACGGCACAAAGGCAACATTTTTTTTTCCCATTTGTTTGAACGGAGAGCTTAGTCTTTGTCTACTGTTCAACACTATTTTGAGATGCTCGATCCTAGTTTGAAACCCTACCTTCAAATACGAACCATTGTTTTGGATCATATCCCTAGTTTCAAACTTTAACTCTAGTTTGAAACCCTACTCTAAAAGCCTAAACTTACTTAGAAACCCTAGTTTAAAATTCTACCCTAAAAGTAAGCCCCCCATTTGAAACTCCATTTCGAGTTTGCAGTTCTACCATGGGGTCCTAACAATAATTTAAAAATCTATCCCCACTTTGAAACCTTACTTCGCAAAGGTGAAGGTGAATGTGTTTGACGTTTGAAGAGAAGTGGAATGATGTTGAGATGTTTGTCCGATCAGGATGCCAATGCTAAAGAACTAGCCACGAGAACGAGGGGAAGGTGACGTCAGGCAAGTAGGTAAGGCAATGCTGACCTTTTGCGTGCTCGTCCCTTGCTCGTCTTCGTCTTGGGACATTTCAGCTGACGCGCGCTGCCTGCTTGCTGAACAGAACTTCTTTCAAGCCGACACGTTGAGCGGAAAGAAGACAAAAAAATTCTCAGACTGAGACTCGACCTTTGCAGGCGTTACGCAGAGGCGCCACCACTTTTCAGGTCCGACTTGTCCGTCGGCAGACAAGGAACGCTATGAGCAGCTTTTGGTTCCGCTTAACGTCTCAACAGCATGCCAACATTTCGACTTGACTTCACCGATTTACTTGTTTGAAAACTATAATTTTTTTCCACGTCATGACATGATGTAATCGTAGGATACGCTCGTACGTTTTCGTCGATTTAAGGAGAAAATCTGTCCGTCCATACGCAGGTGGCCGTCCCTTCACTTTTCATGGCAGAATTCTTGTGGGCTGCTTTTGGCTCCGTCGCAGCAACATTCGCACAGTTCCACGTTTTCTCACTTCCTTGTTTACACAAATCATTTACAAGTCAATGAATAATGACTATCGCGATGTCTTGGTAATACGTCGAAACATCTTTTTTGTTGATTTGGTGGGAATAATCGTCCGGATTCAGAAATAATTATTTCCTGTTTGTTTTGGGTGTCACGGTGTCCATTCATCAGTTTTAGATACACGGACACACGGACGCGGTAAAGTGATGTGACAATGGTCCAGATAAAGAAAAAGACACGTTCCCATACCGGGAGTCGAACCCGGGCCGCCTGGGTGAAAACCAGGAATCCTAACCGCTAGACCATATGGGACATACGTCAGCTTCATAAAATAGTCATTAATAATTTAAATTTAGTTTTAAATTTTCGGATTGACAAGTCAGGACAGCTACTCGGTAGCGTCCGTCACCTGTGTCTTACACCTGTGTTGACAGAAAATGTAATCGCGACGTCATATATCACATCTGCTCCAAACCCGTTCTCGCACTTCGGCTGCTTCCAGACCAGTCAACAAGTGCGCAGTGACCCAAAAAAACAACAAAAACAAAAAAGTCGGTGTGCGATCGCGCGAGTCCGTGCCACATTCTTGTGTACCACAAATCGAGTACTTGGTCCGCTCCTTGGCTGGAGTGCTCCCCTCAATAGACACTAATGTCATGATGACGAAGAAACGACAAAGTCGAGTTACCTTGCAGACAAGCCCGCTTCCTGCTTTTCCATTTATGTCTTTTTTGGCTAGCAAGACAATTTCAACGTCAATGTGGTTTGCTGTTTTGGGGGGGTTTGAACGCTATTTGGTGTTCTCACACACAGCCTAGGTATTGGTGTTACTTGGGTTGTCTCTTCTTTGACGTCATTTTTAGTGTTCGTTGATCCCGACGTCATCTTCGTGTCAGTCAGACTTAGTGGCACGGTGGACAAGGGGTAAGTGCTTTTTTTTTTTCTTTTTCTGGGGAGCTTCTGATGTTTTTGAATGTCGTTGACCGGGGAGAGCAGGTGGGGGTGTTCTAATATGACATATTTGATTTCATTGAATGTTCTTTGAGGGTCCCCCGACGGGAGCCGCGCCGGTGGCATCGACCCCCTCAGCGGGAAAGACCGGCGGGTGCGGGCCGTGGAGGAGCCGGGGGCTAGACGGCTGGTCGGCGTCGTCAGCGCTGCCGGCACTGGCGGCTCTTGCGATCCTGCTGAGGGCGCCCTCGTACGGCGAGGGCAGGTAGACCATCAGGAAGACGCCGTCGTCGGAAGCGGAGCTGGGCAGCTGGCGGCGAATCGACGACAGCAGCCGGCATTTACTCTCGGGGTCGCGCAGGTCTTCCAGTGCGATGACGTCGCCCAATCGCAACCCCCGCCTTCGCCGCCACAAGGCCACGCCCACCAAGGTGAGGAAGAACACCAGGGAGGAGACGGTTGCCAGGACGACGGTGCCCGCCGGACCCCAGCTAGGGGGGCGTGACTCCTCGCCTGAACTATGCTGGGCCTGCGCGCGCACACACACAAAGACACGCGTGATGCCATCAGGTCAGGTGACGTCATCGGTCGATGGGAAGCTTCCGTGAATTCATTCATTCGATCAGTAATTGTCACATGAATGAATGGAGTCTCCCGTTTCTATCATTTTATTCTTTTTTTTCACCCCTTGCCCTAAAAAAACGGGACGGCTTAACTTTCTTATTGTTGTTTGTTTGTTTGTTTGTTTGTTTTTCATTGTCCAGTTTCAAGAAAGTTTGTCAAAAGTATGCGCAAAAGCGGCCTGCAATCACTTTGATGCGCTGGAGAAAGTGTTTCTTCTTGTCAGATTCGGTGACGGCCGTTGTCCCGCAGAGGGCGCTGCGAGTCCACTAGAATCGACGAAGTGCAACATCAACATCAATTACATGAAGCTCAATAATCAGTTAAATATTTCCAGAGGCATGATGTCGTCATACTAAATGTTAAAAAAGGGCTACAATATACAGTGGGCATGCGTTTATCGTGCAATGTTGCTCGTTTTTTGACACATATTTGGAATGTTATGACTCGTATATTTTTATTTACCAGCGAGCAAACCGGCGGCACGGTGAGCGCCTGGAAAGCACGTTTACCTCCCGGCAGAGGTCTTAGGTTCGACTCCAATGCACCCGGGCCTTCCTGTGTGAAGTTTGCATGTTCTCTCCGAGCCTCCGTGGGTTTTTATCCGCGAATGGTTGTTTGTCTATATATGTGAGCTGCAATTGGCTGGCAACCAAAGACGACTGGGATGGGCTCCAGCACGCCCGCAAGCCCACTGAGTATAAAGCGGATTAGAAAATGGATGGATGGATCAAGTAAAAAAAAAAAGATATATATATATATATAAATAAATAATCTTCACATTTCATATACTTGTATGCTTTATTTGTCCCTAAAGGTATCTTAGACTTAATTATTACTTTTTCCAGTTACTAAAGGTTTCTTGATATTTTCATTTTTTTAAGTTGACCTATAAAAGCTTGGGTAAACTAATAAAGATTTTATCATGAGTTGTTATTTATCGCTCTGATGTTTCATAAAAAAATCCACTTGTTGCTGAATGTAACCCTTCATTCATAAATGCTACTGATGATGATGATGATTATTATTATCATTATCATCAAAAAGCTGGCGTGCTTGAAGGGAAAAAGGGGCAGAATCGGAATCAGTGCAAAACAATCGAGAAAAGTTTTCTTGCATCTCTGCTTTAATTTTTATTTTTAATTACGTGCATTTTTCACAAACGCGTTGAAAACATTCAAACTACTTCGTGGTATCAAGCAAATAGTCCTCCCAAAAGGAGTGAGCAAATTCATTTTTCGAATGTTCCTCGTCATTTCCTATGTTTACATTTTAATGTCGTTTCGTTAGCGTTAAGAGCAAGACTACCCGAGTCACGTTTGAAACTTTTCAAAACTCAAACAACGTACTCGACGATGCCGACGACGACCAGCTCAGCCGCCTCGAATTCACTTTTGCGGATGACTGACAAGACAAAAAAACAAGTTAGCGCAGCATTTAGTGCCGCGACGAGGTTTGGCATCTTTCTCGAATTGTGACACATTCGGACGAGTTGCGCTACTCACGTCGCTGTTCGCGTCAGTGGACGTTCCGCTCGACCAGTCCAGCGAATCTCGCCCGGCAGGTCCAAATTTGGTCCAACTGCTATCCAGAAGATTCCTCATGGGGCCCGATTGCTGGCCGGCGGCCGCCGCTGACGTGGTCGTGGAGCCGTCGACGCTTCAACGCGTGCGTGTGAGCTGCGCCCCGCCGGCAGCCACCATATGTATGAAAACCCCTGTGCGCGCGTACGAGCGCGCGCGAGCCACCCCTGGTCCCGATGGGAGGGGCGAGTGTGCGTCTGTGCCTTGCTGTCCACGTGCAGCTTGAACTCCGGTGGTGCCTCGAGATACGAGCATTTATTCTAGTTTACGAGACTTTTGGATGAAACGAATCTGTGTGTGTGCGCGCATTGCAGCCACGCCCACGATTTAAGACTCGTCTTTTTTAACTCATTGACTTCCTTTTCCTCACCGGCTAATTGTGTTGGTCGTCATAATGACGCCACCCACCTGGTGCTGTGTGATTGCTTTGGAGAATTTAATTTTGTTTTTTTCCGCGTTTCGCAGCACTTCACGCCAAGCTGCTCTCACAGGCGTAAAAAAAAAAGACGAATGAGTTTTTTCTCCTTTTGCGCCTTTCGTTTAATCCCGACGAGAGAAATAAAAGGAAAACAAGCAAAAGAATGGGAAGCGGCGAGCCGCCTCAAAGCTGCTTAACGTCCAAGATGAGAAACTTTGAGATGATCCACTCGTGTGGAAATCTCCAATCCCACAAAGTCAAGGGAGGATTGGCGGCGGCGACCGTACGCGCACACGCGCGCTTTGCGTGGCCTACTTCGTGCCACGCACACACGGCGGTCGAGCGCATCGAGCTGAATATTGAGGGCGAGTTGAGTCGAGTTGATTAGCGAAGGTCATCGCCGCTCAGCTCTCTCACTCCGTTCCAATAACATCAACATTAAACCACCTATTCCTTAAACAGAGTACAGTGCAGTTATTTCATCCCCGGGGCCGCCAAATTAGGCAGTGTCGCCCCCTTTTGGCGACCCGATGCACGTCACAAATTCAACAAGCGCCCTTGCGAAGGTTGCCAACGTCACGTGACCAAAGTCAGGGAAACGGGCGAGGGGGCGAGCTGTGGTTGCTGCTGGGTGCTCATCACAAGACCTTTAATAGCACAAATAAAAGAACTGACGCAAATCCATAAAGAAGAAATAAAATACATAAATAGGTGGATACGAATCAATATTGATCAATTAGCAACAAACACACTGCAATGTAGTCTTCATCGTCATCATCTTTGGCTGACTTTGGGTCCTCGCGGGCAGGCTGAACACTGCGGGCTGTCATGTTGGCAGGAAGTTAGCAGGAAGTTAGCCACATCACGCAAAAGCGTTGCTGACAAGTTGCGCCGCCTCGGCAAGCGGGCGCGGCGTCGGGCAGACGTCATGCGAGTTCACGCCACAATGTCATAGAGTCTTCCCACGCGACCCAGCCAATCGCACAGGGCCTGGCGCACGGCGCTGTCGGTGATGTGGCACGCCAGCTGGCACACGCTTGGGTAGAGCGCCGGCTGAAGCGCCACGAAGGCCGCGTCCGAAAGCTGCAGGACCTGATGCAGCGCCGTCGCCACCATGTTGCTCCATGCCTGACGGACACACACACGGCATCGGGAACACATTCGTTACGTTAAGACGTCACAACATGTCACACGTTGGACAAGAAACAAGATGTGAAATCACAACATGTCACATAGCGTCCGTGTCAGGTGGGAAGCTCCTTCTCGAAGTTCAAATGTGGTCAATTTCCCGTTTGGTCCCAAATGGCCACGATTGGTCAGTCCCTGCATGGGTGTGTTCTTTGTACAAACGACCAACGGCCGAACAAACGGCGTCGGAAAAGCCGGGATCCCGCATGATGGCGCCATGTGACATGTTGCCTGCCCCGCGTGGCGACGAAAAGGCGCGGCACCGCTCACCTGTATCTGCGCATGCGCGTCACTGGCGGCGACGTGCCCGTGAGAGCTGACGGCCGAGCCCGATCTGGACCTGAGGACTTCGGCGCCGGCGCTGTGCGAGTGTCTGAGGGGCGGGGCCTGCGTCTGCTGGTTACGCGCGTGGCCCCGCCCCCCCTGCCATCTGTCATGCTGCTGCTGCTTCCTGTGTTTGTACTGGTTCAGCAGCTTGGCCAGGCTTTTGTCAGTCGCCATGGAGACCAGCTTGGTCCCGGTGCTCTCCCACCAGTCCTTCCCGCCGCTAGGGAAGCTAGCGGGAACGCTTCCTGTGCAGCTGAACGACCAAGAAAATCCATTTACAGAAAATGCAAGGGTAGCGGGGATGGCTATTCTCATGCCTCCGCCTCAGTTTGAGGCGGGGAAAGCCCTACGACACGATCAAGCCTCACCTGAATGCCAGACTGTGTGCGGGCGTGTCCCCCGGCGAGGGCGCCGTGCTGGTGCTGGTGCGGGCCGTGTGACACGTGACTGCGCCTTCCTCTGAGGGCGTGTCCCCCCCCGCCGACGTGGGCGTGGACGACTCAGACGGGAAGAGCGGCAGGAAGAAGGTGTGGCGCTCGCCCGCTTGCGAGGACGGCGGGGTCGGCGCGGCGGTGGCCGCGTCCTCCTCCAGGTCTCGATGCATCTGGATGTAACTGGCGCACACGTCGGCAATCAGCTTGTGAAGACGCTTCACCAGCCACGCCCACTCTGCCACGCCGCTACTGCCCAGCGCCGCCGGGGCCACGCTCAGGGACGACATAGCAGCTCGCCACTGATGCCGGTGGTCTCGCCCGCGTGGGGGGCTCACCTGCGTGTGGGTTTGCAAACGTCGTACTTGGTTTGAGGCGATTTTGGTTGCATACTGCGGAAGAGATTTTTTTATGTGTGTGTGTGTGTGTGTGTGTGTGTGGCGCCTGAAGCAACACACGAAGAGCACCTGCGCCGTCTCTTCAAAGATGTCTTCGTCCTCCGAGGACGCCGACCCGGGTCGGGAGGAGTCCGAGCTTCCGTCGTCGTCCTCGTAGAGGATCTTCTTGACCTGTTGCAAAAGGCACAACGCGCTGAGGCAACGGGAGGAGGAGGCGGGGCCGAGAACGAAAAAAAAAAAAGGGGCGGTACCTGCTGGGCCGTCATGCCCTCGGCCTGACTCAAGACAGCGGCGAGCAGCGCCTGCACGTAAAGCTTGAAGCTCATGGCCGCCTGGCGGTACAGATTGGCCGCGCCGCACACGCCCGACACTTTCATCAGAAGGTACTTCAGACCCGGACGCGTGTCAAAGTCGCGCGCCGTCCTGTGCGCAAAAGTAACACCGAAGAAGTCGTAACACATACCGAAAGAAGCGGCTCAACAGCCACGCGTGACATGTTGAGAGTGCCACAGAAGCAAAAAGAGCCGTCAAGTCACATCACATGAAGCCCCGCCCACCTGTAGGAGTCAAGCAGCAGGTCGAGGATGATTGACAGGTTGGTCATGGACACGTAGCGCAGGAAGCCCGCTGCCGGACGCGCGGCGGGTTCAGAGGTCACTGGCGTCACCCTCTCCTGCCCGTCGGGCTGCTTGACAAACTCCTTGGTTCGGCGGACCGATCGATCAATCGATCAATCAATCAATTCATCGGTGTGTGTTGTTGTTGCGGATGCTGCGTGTTAAAGGGTTGGGCATTGTTTGAATTTGGGTGATCCCGGTTCCTCGATTCGATGCCAGTTCTGAATGATTCTCGGAACATCAATTCAGGAAAAGCTACTTGAAAATGTGAACGAAAAAGTGTAAAACGCAACTTGGATCCCAATTCCAATCGATTATCGCTGCCCAACCCTTCGTGTGTGCGCCGTGTACAGTCTGTACCTCCAGCAAGATGTCCGAAAGGTTCTGCAGAAGAACTTGATGTGACAACAGGCTCACCACCACGTTACGGAACGGAACACTGAAACATGCAGTCAAAGAACAGCACGATTCGTACACGCGTGTTTGGGACCTTTGGTGGCGTAAAATGGAAAAAAAAGCTTACCCAACTTTCCTAAAAGCAGCAGAAGAAAAAGTCAAATATTGAGACAACCATGTCGGATTTCACTCATACAGAGGAGCAGAGTGGGGGGCCAAAGTGCTCTTCATGCGACAGCGGCGCCGCCACACGCAACCAAGCACATGCAGCTTCGCGAGCGCAAACTTGAGCTACGAGTACTGGGCGTTGGCGGGGAACTCGAGCCAACCCGGCTACAACAAAGTCAACGCGACTCACAGTCATATATTCTTTATCATCTGCACAGAACGGCTAATATCAGTGGCGTACTGATGAGCTGAAATGTGTGGCAATGTGTGAGCTGGAGTGCACACGTCTGACACTGCCCCCAGGTGGACAAGGTGCGCACAGCAGTAGGAGCAGCTTTCGGCGTGTGCGCATGCGTCACCTGTTGTGAGCGTGTCCGTTGGCGTGACACTCCAGTGGCGGCTCGATGATCAAAACGCACGACTGGGCATGCTCAAAACCGTCCTTGTTGCTGGGCGTCTTGGGCGAACATTGGCCGTCCAACATGAACACCTGCCGTGCACACATGTGGAGATTTTAACACGAGTCGCATCGGCAGCCGGTTGGTGGCCAGCGACTCGGTGCGCAGACCGCAAACCGGTGGCCTGAGTTCTTTCCAACAAGTTTGTTTCACTTGCACACGACAGAAGCGTAGTACTGTCACGCCGGGAAAAAAAAAAACATCAGCGTTACGTTAAAATTAGACACGTTGCAACGCGACAAGTCCAAATGGGAAGCTTTACGTGAGAATCACATTCAAAGGTTTTCATTTTGACTTGAAGAAACCTGTTCCAGGATGCTGGCTTGAGACGGGACAGATAGACACAAGATCGAGAGAGAGAAAATAGGATAGAGGCAGGGTCGGGTCTAGGCTTGGGCAAAAGGGGGCTTGAGCCCCCCAACTACATATTTTTATGATCTCATGCCTTCCTCCTTCGCTCCACTTCTTACTGTGTTCATGTCTTGCTTATTACTATTTTTTTCAGTTGATGACACGATAGCAGGATCCCCGGGCCTTGGTTTTGGACATGTTTTTACATGCCTAATGGTCTTATCTAGTAGACCTAAGTAACTGTTAAGCTGTTTGTTTTTTTTTCTAGGCAAATAGCCTCTGTTTTATTTCTTGAATTTTATTACAAAAAAAAAGAACATCCTCCTCAGGCAATTGAAAAAAAATATCTCCAAAAAAATTCAGAAGCATCCTCTTAAGCGTATCATATTTTCAAAAATTTAACAAATAAACATCGTGCTCAGGAGGTTCGTGCGCCTCAGTGACCCAAAGAGCGATACCATCAGAAGCTAGACTTCGTAGGGGCACCCAAGTTGGGATGGTCTTCGATTCGAGGCCTGACAAAGTGCAGTGAGTTTCGGGTGAGGTTGCGACATACAACTAACCCAAACCCGAGTTCAGATTTGCTTTGTCGAATACAACAAGTGTGCCAAGCATGCTGTTGAGTGCAGCCGCATCAAAGTGAGGGAATTTGTGACCTGCTGCGCCATGGCTCGGATCCTCCAGTACTCGGCCTCCGCCGACGGCGACGAGGAAGGAGCGGCCACCTTCACTTCGCAGGCGTCGCCGCAGAAACTGTCCGAGCCGCTCCGGAAACACGACACGAGCTTCTGCAAGCACACGTCGCATATCAAGTACGTTGAAAGACGCGCAAGTGCGCCACTGCGCTTCGTTGACACGAGCGGCCTGATAACGAGACGGCCGCTTGTGTCAACGTGGCCTCATTCCGAAATGGCGTGCGCGCGTGCGCATCGGGGCAGATGTAAAACATGTAAGCGGCTTTACGGCTTAGAGCCACATCTGTGTGTGTGTGTGTGTGTGTGTGTGTGTGTGTGCGCAGGGTGTGGGGTTGTTCACACGATGCTTTTGACCTCGTCCTTGGGGATAGACGCGCGTGTGGGCCGACGGGCGGGCAGGCGGCCGCACACGCAGGGGGTGAAAAATGGAGCATCAAGTGCTCTTCAAATCAAACTCCATGACCCACAATGCCTTGTGTCTCTTCACTTTGTGTGTGTGTGTGTGTATGTGTGTGTGTGTGTGTGTGTGAGAGACGGTGCGTGTACCTTGACAGGCTGTAAGGTAGCAGAGAAGGCATCCTGCAGGGCGCAGCAGGCCAACCTCCACATTTCCTCGGTGAAAAGCGGACCCACCGTCACCAGCACGTACCTACGGCCGACACGCCGTCAACGTCAAGGCAACACGTCGCGCGCGCCTGCACGTGTGCGTGTGTGAGACCTGATGCAGGAGCAGCCCACTCTGGAGATGGTCTCCGCTGCTTGCGACACGCACGACACCAACAGCCCGAAGAGCTCCTTCAACATCACGTTGATCCAAAACTCGCAACCGACGTCTGACGGCACACAAGGCGACGCGAGCGTCAAAGAGAGATCCGCGCTCGTGCTTTGGGGCAAGAGTTCCTTTTAAGTTAATTCGAAGGCTCCTGTGAGAGCGTGAGTGTTTTTCTAAGGCACAGCGGGCTGACTTTTTAAAAAATTTGCAATCGCTTGGTTGTCAGCATCTTGCTCGGAACGCTTCCCGTCTTGTCCCGTCTCACGCTCTCAACGCGCCTCCAGAGGCCGCGGGGCCACTCTCGCCGCGTTCCAACAATGCTCTGCAGAGTGGAGCAGAGCGCGCTCGGAATGAATTTGCAAACACAGCCTCGGGCGGTTTTGTCCTTTCTTGTTCTTGCGGTCGCGCTTTTCCGTTTTGATATGTCGTGCAGGCAGAGTAGCGGAGGCGCGACGTGCCATGTCGCCTTGCGTCACCTGCGTTTATGAAGGTGCTGACGTGCTCCACCACCAGCTCGCAGCAGAGGCCGATGGCGTGTTTGAAGTTGGCGGCGGCCACGTCCCAGTAGGCGTGGTCGCCGTGGCTACGCTGCAGCCACAGCGACATGACGGGTAGCAGCAGCTGCACCACGGCCGAAATGGCAAAGCCCGGACCTGCCGGACAAAACTCTGATGTCAAAAGTCACCTTTGTTTATTTACAGCCATGAAAACGTGAAGCGTTTTCCTTTTTAGCCAGTAAAAGCCTTGAGCAAAGGTCACCTGGCACGACGGCGACCTCTCGCAGGAGCAGGAAGAGCGTCTCCAGGGTGGGTGGCTGATGCTGGCGGGGACAGTTGGACACGGCGGCCGTCAGCTGCTCCAGAAGAAGAATCCACACCTGGATCAGACCTGAGGGACGGCGACGGCGTGTCAGGCGGGACGGAGGAGGGGGAGGGGAGCCCTTGACGACGCTCGCCTTTTTGCCTCGCTCACCCGTGCCGTCATCAAAGTCCCGCAGGACGCCGTCGAGCACGTCCTGAGCGCCCGCCGACAGCTCATGCGACCTGGCGGGCAGGCTGGCGAGCCGCGCCCCCAGGAAGACGGGTTTGGAGGGCATCTTGTAGATGGTGGCCAGCAGCTGCCACCAAGGAAGAGTGAGGTGGGGGGCCAGGGGGTGGGAGTCACCTGACCGACAGGCCAACGGGAAGCCGCTCACCTGGGAACATCTGCGCAGGTAGCTGAGCGCCGGCAGGCACAGGTCCAGTGTGCTCCGAGACGATGCCGGCGCGCACTCGCCGATCTCCTTGTCGTCCAACTCACCTGTGCCCCAAAAATTAAAAAGTTACACAAAAGTGACGGCAAAAGTGGAAAAAAGCAACGGCACCTTTGGGTTCTTCATTCAGTCATGGCTTCAAGACCCAATTTGAAACCCTGCTCAGAATTAAACCTCTCCCTGACTAGGGCTTGAAGCCCTACTTTCAAACCCTAACTAGTCTGAAACGCTAATTTGTAAAACTAACCTTTATTTGAAGACTTTGAAACACCACTTTGAAACCCCAACCATACATCTGTCCATGTCAAGGCAACGCACGCACGGATCGTAAGCCTACTCGAGAACGTTTGCGTGTCAGCGTGTACGTCGGCCTACCTAAACCTTTGACGAACTTCATGAGGCACATGATGTAGTCGGTGGCGGCGTTGGCGAACACCTGGATGTTGTCCGTGTTGATGAAGGCCTCAAAGACGTCAAAGACGGGCGCGCGGCGCTTGCCTGCCGACCACACGAGACACGCCGTGGGGACGCCGGCCTGCGGGCACAACCCTCGCGGGGGCGAAGGCTACGTACCCGCTTCGTATTCTGCCAGCAGGTAGTCTTTGGCCTCCATCTTGGCGCCGTGGGCGGTCCTGAGGGCGCTGAACAGCGGGCGCCAGCCGGACAGGATGCGAGGAGAGCACATCTCCACCAGCTCACCGATTGACGTCACCACCTGGATGCCGCCAAAGCAATCATGGCGACGCATCCACAAATGCTGCGTAGCGTAGCCTTCCCGATAAAGTTACGAGCCAGCTAACATGGCTAGTAGCCTGGTCCTGTGGCTAGTACGGTATCCCGAAGTCTTAAAAACATGGCAATATGAAAACTGGGAAAACATATTACAACACTTATTGGAATTGTGCCTTGGCTGGTAATAAATACTCAAATCTTCACCTTCAGTGGCATGTCTGTGCTTTATTTGAGTCACCTAGGAAGCTAACTAGCCTGCTAGGTAACCAACTGGTCTGGTAACAGGCTTTCCAATTAGCCTTCTAACCAGGCAGCAAGAATGCTAACCAGCATGCTAGGTAATCAACTGGTCTGCTAACAGGCTTTCCAACTAGCTTGCTAGCCAGGCAGTAAGAACGCTAACCAGCCTGCTAGGTAAGCAACTGGTCTGCTAACAGGATTTCCAACTAGCCCGCTAACCAGGCAGCAACAAGGGCAACCAGTCTGGTTGGCAAGTACGTTAAGTAGACTGCCAAACTGCCTGTGAGCTAAGTAATTCGCCTGCGAACCGGGAAGCTTGAATGGTAAGTAGCCTGTGACTATCAAGCCTGCTCGGTAAGCGACCATGAACATGCACTCACATTGGCATGGAGGGGAATCAAAACAGTTGTTTAGTTTGGGCTCCTAATGTATGGGAGAAGGAACTAATGTGAACCCGCACCAGAGAATGACGGTCACTTCGGTCCTTTGTGTAACGCTACAAAAACATGCTTTACTCGGGTGAGATTTTGCTTGCCCACAAGCTTTGAGGAATGGGAGCTGATTTCGGACAAGGCTGTTAAGCACGTATCCAAAGCACATCTTTAGTTGACGCACACACGTACGCCACATCGGACAGCTTCAGCGGGCTAAGCAAGCGGCTGGGAGTCTGACTGGGCCGCGCTTGGGGTCACCTGGTCCTGGACGTCGTCGTCGCACAGCTCCAGCTGCATGATGTGCTCAAATGGTCTGAAGAGCGCCTCGTTGAAGTGGAAGTGAGAAGGCTCCGTCCAGCCGCTCAGAACCTCGGTCAGGACGTCGTGGATGAAGGACACCGCCTTCTGGGACACGCGGCGCTCTTTGTGACACGCTGCCTGCGGAGGGGGGGCAGGCGTGCACGCACACGTGAACACACCCACACGCAGACATGCGCGCACATCCACGTTGACGCAAATATTCTGCGTCCTAATGTGTCCCTGATCAACGTTACCACGGCAAAAATGTGGCGTAGGTTCCCTACCTCGACCAGGTGCGGGGCCACCACACTCCAAGCCCTCATCTTGTGCAGCAGCGGCCTGCTGTCGTTCCGGACGATTCTCAGCATGGCCTCGCCAAGACGGAAGAGGTGCAGGGAGCTCGGAAGCTCCAGCGTCGACTTGGCTTCTCCTGTAACACAACTCCACACTTCAAACCACAAAATCAAGTCTCATATTAAAAATCCAATGACCCGTTTGCATCGATTTTTTTTCTCCTCAATTTGTGGAAAAAGCAAATGAAATGACACCGATGACATGATGACATTTGTCTGCTTGGGGGACTTGCTTGTCTTCTTTCTCCTGATCGCAAAAAAGTTAGTTTTTCCCCAGTTAGTTTTTCCAATCATAAAATAAATATCTTTTTCTTTATTTTTTTTTTTTGTCAAGATCTACTGAGCAGGTACTAAAGTTGGCTGTCACCTTTTTGAAAATGAGTCACATGAGGAGTGCGGGCAAAGTTGCTGAACAGAGCGGCTGAATGGCCATGTTGTCAATATGGAACGAAGCCAGACAATGGGGACACTTTTTTTTTTTTTTGTTGCTATGCAAAAATATGCAGTTGTAACACAACGTGTGTGGGCGCGCACGCATACCGGGCATGGCAAGCGAGTAGTCTCCAGTGTCGGTGACAGAGTGGAAGAGCTGACACTGAGATGCTTTCCTCAGCTCCTGCAAGAAGCCCACCAGGGACGCCAGATTGAGTTTGTGCGCCGCTTCTTCAAACAACCTGAAACGCACACACGCAGAGACATGAGGCCCGCGCGGCCACCCATGTGCAGGAGGAAAAGCAGCAGGCGCCGTGGCCGCCCCTGACGGGACGAGCCCAAAGGAGCGAGGCACCAGACCCAATATCGAAAAGAGCTCTGCGGCTTTCCTGCGGCTGCCGAGCGAACGATATCCTGGTTTGAACACCGATATTCCGGATTCTTTCTCGCTGGTGTCTTTGGACTCAACTTCAATTACATGCATGTCATTTATTTATGCAAGTATGTGAAATTCACAGAGAAGATGTAGTTAGGTGTACTGACAAACCCCACACACGAATGCCACGAGTCACGTCACGTGTCCGAGGAAAAATGACCCGGTAGATGATATTCGAAATGATAGTTGTGGACAGGCAGAAGAACAATGTCGTGTGGGATGTCTTCAATCGTCTTTTTGTCATCTGCGACACATATCCCGTCCAGCTGTTATGTGTCAAGAGGACAGCACACACGACCCATCGGGGACACACGCCATGAGGGGGCCGCACATTAGGCCTTGTGTTTGCTCCATCTGCTCCAAACGAGCAGAGCCGTTTTTTTGCTTTGCAATCACTTCCAAAACAAACACACGCAAGGAATGATTATAAACCTCTATCCGTGTGTGTGTGTGTGTGTGTGTGTGTGTGTGTGTGGGCTTGTCACTGTTGGCGGGAGCACACAAATCTGAGCTTCGCAAAGCAAATCCTGCGCCCTTGTGCTGCCATCTGGCGGAATTAAAGCACCATTGCAAGTGAACGCACTTATATCATCATGATTTTGCATTTTGATTTGTTTTAATGTTGGGAAAAGGGGTTGGCGGAGAGGGTGAAAACGCGGGGGCGCTTGACTCACCTGTCGGCCTGCGTGGACAGCGTGCAGACGGCCTTGGCGGCACCGGGTCCGGTCAACAGGCTGCCCCCTTTGAGGTCCAGAGCACATCCTCCTCCGCCGCCCTGGACCACAAGCTCCCGGATGGTCGAGGGGCGCGTGAGGGGCGGCGTCGGGTCAGGATGCGGGGCCTCGCCTTCCACTCGGGCCTGGCCCACAGGCTCCGGGAGCCGGCCTGCGAGCGCCCCCTGCTGGCACCGCTGGGAGAGGGTGGCCCGCGACAGCCCATGATTCGTGGCGCTGAAGTGTGTGTGCTCCAGAGAACTGATGTATTCCGTCACCCTGACACACGAAAACACACCAAAACTCATGCACATATGCATAGATGCATGTGTCGCCCATGCGACACGGTGTCACATGACTGGGGTCGGTCACTCGGCATCTTTGCGCGTGTCACCTGAAGACGTGCGTCCAACACTCGTGGTTGTGGCTGCCCATCTCCAAGCCCACGTTCAAAATGGCGTCCATGCACAGCACGTGCGCCGTGTGCAGGCGAACGCCCGCCGGCCGCGACATCTGCTCCAGACGCTGCTTCACTACACACGCACGCACGCACGCCTTTAGTCGCTGTTGCTGCTGCTGTAGTGTGCGTTGCGTGCGTGGGTGGGGATCACCTTGCGAAATGGCGTCCCCCGCTTCAGGCGCCTCCCTCTCATCGCGGTCTTCCTGCACGCAGGAGGCGGCGGCCATTTGGGCCAAGGCTGAGGCGCAGTTGGCGGCCACACCTGAGGCCACACAAAAACATCTTGGCGATGGCCTTTTATGCGGTGTGTGTGTGCACGCGCCATTTGCGCTCGCGGGAAGGTGCGAATGCGGCGGCACTCACCCAGCGCGCAGCTGAGCGCGGCTGCCTGCCTTAGTCCGTCCAGACTGAGACAGATGGCGTCTCGCTCGCGCTGGCTGTTCTCTCTGGCGAAGACCAGCAGCATCTTGGAGCTGCCGGCGGCGCGGCCCGTCAGCGGCGTGGACAGGACCTCCATCAGCTGGCTCCACACGCCCGTCAGCAGGAAGCGCGACAGCACGCCGCCTTGAGGAGAACACAGACGATGCCGTGCTGTGACCACGGCCATGTCAGCGTGGAGTTGACTTGTCCCGGGTACGCACCCGCCACGACGGCATCGTCGCCTGCTCTGTCGCAGGAAGGAGCTGATTGGTTGAACCTCCTCATCAGCTGACCGCCAATCGCACTGCTGCCCAGACCGTCCATATCTGAGGGGAGGGGTGAGTTGGAAATTAGATTTTGTGTGTGTGCGTGTGTGTCTGCCCACGTTTTTGTGTCTTCGTGTGTGTTTATGCAAGAGTATGCCTGTGTGTGTGTGTGTGTGTGTGTGTGTGTGTGTGTAGGGAGGAGTGTGAGTGTGCACGAGCACGCCTGACTTATGTCGGTGCACACATGTGCGCTACCGTTCAGCATGGTGATGAATGGTGGCATTCTCCCGTCGGGCGCCAACCCGTAGCCCGCCTGAGCCAGCAGGTCTAGTTCCAGAAGCTGATGGTAGACCTCCTCGATCCACACCTGAGACAAGACCACTAGCACGCCGCTGCTCTGGATCGCACGCGCAAACTCCTTCTGCACCGCGCAAACAGGAAAGGGACACGCAACAAATTAAGCGGTTTTCGCAAAGAGGAAGTGGAGGAAGAGTGCGGCGACGCTCACCAAGCCAAGGGCAGGGGGGAGCGCCCTCCGCTGGTAGAAGTTGCACTTGCACAGTTTGAGGTTGAGCAGCAGCGCGTAGAAGGACAACAGGTAGATGCCGTCGGCGTTCATCAGTGACTGACAGCTCAGAGTCTGCCCCGCCTCCACGCCTGGTGAGGGGATCCTGCCTATCAAAGTGCACGCTTGGTTCAGTCCAAATCTTGACCACGCGCACATGAAACATCGAGCAAAAAACGGTCACACAAACAGGAAGTCGACACACAAGCAATGTCGGCGCACAGTCCGGAGCAGAAGGTGCGCGCGAAGTCCTGCAGGAGTCGGTCGACTTGCGCGGCGTCGGCGTCGAGGGCGAGGAGTCCCGGCAGCAGCGAGGCCAGCGAGCGCACGAAGACGCGGGCGCCGTGCTGGTCGGCTTCCCGGTGGCGCAGCAGCTTGAGCGAGAGCGCGGCCGCCGTGCGCAGCGAGCGGCCGGCCGGCGCGTCCGACGGACTGGGCTCGTCCTCGTCAGCCAGCGACATGTTGTCGGAACCCATGTCCGACACGTCGGAACGCCCCGAGTCCTTCTCGGCCGCCATGGAGTAGTGATCGCACGAGTCCAACTCTGTCCGAGACAAGTCCTGCTCCTCCATGCTGAAGATGGGAGCACACGTTTTCATTTTAACCTCAAAGATGCTTCACGCACACGCAGATATCGAGAGCTTCACCTGAAGTTGCTCTCGCTGTAGCGCGATGCGGGCGCGTGGTGCGTTCTGGTTCTGGACTCCACCGACAGGAAGTTGGTGATGTCAGGATATACGAGGGCGTGGCTTCTTTGGACCACATCGGGCGGCACCACACACGCCTCCTGCCGCAGATGCGCCGCCGCCTCCTCCTCCTCGTCCTGCTCCGCCTCCTCGTGATCAGGGGCCGCGCGGCCTGCAGGCTGCGAGTCCGACGTGGTGCGGCCCGTGTCTGTGGTGATGCTGATGCTCACGCTAACGTCGGGGCTGCGCTCCACCGCGGCATCCAACGGCTCCCCCTCGGAGGAGAGGATGTGTCTCTGCCACAGGAAGTCGGCCTCGTTCACTTCCATGGACGCGCGAGACGACTCCGTGCCGTCCTTCAGCTCGTCCATGCGGCCGACCACCAGACGAACCTGAACACGGGGTGACATCGGTGGCGTGACGTCACGGCACAAGCGCCGCGTGCCGCTTCACCGAAGATATTCGTCCCATCATCTCATCACGCGCTGCACCTGCTCCGGCGTGAGGCCGCGGCCCTGCGACAGCTCCTCCAGCGCTCGCAGCAGAGCGCACGCACACGACACGCTCCAGTAACACGCCTCCATGCCGCCCTTCACGCACGCCTCCGTCATGCCGTCCATCACGCTGAAAACCAGGCAACCAATCAGCGTACTTTGAGAAGATAAAGGCGGCGCTAGATCATGTGATGTCATTATAGAATGTCATGTCGGTCATGTGATGTGGCCACTAGGCACGGGTCGGTTACCGCTGTGAAAAAGTCGAGGTTTCAACATTGGGCGCCTCTTTGAAGCGACTTACTAAAAAGAAGTGAACATGCATTTATTTCTTCGTGTCCCAAATTTTGTTGAAAAATAAAATGCTGCTTTTATTTCCCTAAATCTTTCAAAAAACGGACAGAGCTGTCATTTGATTCGCGTAATTTTTGCATTTTTGCTCAGGGGGCCCGTGCCTAGTCATGACATCACCTTGTCACGACCTCGCAAAATGTCAATCGAGCAGCGAACGAGAGGCGTACTGACAGTCGCAGCAGGTCCAGGTGCGACTTCCTTTTGGAGAATGATCGCTTCCTGCTCTCGGGCTCGGCCAGGCCCGGCCCGGCCAGGTCGAACAGACGCTGGGGACTTCCCACAATCTGAAAGCCGGCACGCGATGCACGATTTCACGCCACCCGATGTCACATGATGACGTTCCGAGAAATTTGATGTCACGTCACGTCACGTGGCATGACGTGAGCCCGGTGCCCCACCTCCTTCATGATGCGGATGGCCTCAGTGCGGTGCTGCGGCGGCGGGTAGAGCAGGATCCTGTGGTAGAGCGACTGCAGCACGGGCTTCATGGACTCCACGCAGCTCACCAGGCGAACCAGCTCGGCCGCCACGTAGCACACGGTCCGCACCACCGGCGCGATCCGGGCGGGGGCGCTGGACGAGCAGCCCGAGCCTCGGCCTTGATCGGACACCAGTCCCACGGCGGACTCCGCTTCCTGGCTGGCGCCTGGAAAATGCGCCGATATCGTCAGGACGACGAACGGGACCGTGAGCGCTCACGGCGGGAACGTACCCGGATGGAGCCGCTCCGCATCTGGCGCCCCCGTGTGGCCGTGGTAGGAAGTGATGGTTTTGTCGTTGACCGGGTTTCCCATGATGGACACCAGAGACGGACACAGCTGCTTCCTGTTGGGGGTGACGAGGGGGCGGAGTCTCCGTCATGATGATACTTACATGAGCCTATGACATCATGTGCTTGTGTATGCGTGCGTGCGTGTAGTGTATGCGTGTGAGCGCGTGTCTACCAGACAAGGTCGGTGAAGCGTCTGGACAGGTGCATTGTGGGAGGACAGGAGCTGAGCATGGACAAGATGCTTTCCAGGTAAAGAAGCTGCAGCAGCTGCTTGTCACTGACGGTCAACGCACAATATCAGTCGCACGCAGTTGCAGTTACCGAAAGCATCACGGCTCCAAAGCCGCCACGCTGAAGACATTGCGCGCTCCTCACTTACCAGTCGACCGACTCCAGCTTGTCACAGAAGAGCGTCAAGACCATCACGACGTCGTCGCACAGTGCCTGGCTGGTGGGCGACACGTCTGCATGCATGCACAAACGCGCACACAAATACAAAAAAAAAAAAAAGATGTCCGGTCCACACAAGTCATTCTTAGAATGATTGGTGTATTGAGAATGTGGTTTGGGGGATGGGGTGGTACCCACGCTGAAGACATTGCGCGCTCCTCACTTACCAGTCGACCGACTCCAGCTTGTCACAGAAGAGCGTCAAGACCATCACGACGTCGTCGCACAGTGCCTGGCTGGTGGGCGACACGTCTGCATGCATGCACAAACGCGCACACAAATACAAAAAAAAAAAAAAAGATGTCCGGTCCACACAAGTCATTCTTAGAATGATTGGTGTATTGAGAATGTGGTTTGGGGGATGGGGTGGTACGTACCCCGTCTCTGCAGAGGAGGGGCACTCAGCTCTTCTCCATCTGCTCCCTGTAGACGATGCATCACAATTTTTCATTCGAGCTGCTTTCCCAGCAATCCTAAACTCACCACAGTGGGCCCCTTCACAGTGTTTTTTTTTTTGGGGGGGGGGGGGGGCATCAATACTTTTGAAAAAGATGGAGCAACATTAATTATTATGGTTGCCTTCAAACTCTGTGACACTGCATTCATGTGTGTGTGCGTGTGTGTGTGTGACACGACTTGACCTCTTGTCTGTGTCGCAGCTGCAGTGTCAAATCTCCAAGAATCTGACTGAGGGTGGCTCGGACTGCCGTGTTGATGCTGCGCTGATGACAGTTGGACGCGTATGTATCCATGCACACCTGCGCGCGCGCGCGCGCGCGCGCACACACACACACACACACACACACACACACACACACACACGAATCACAATGTGTTGAGAGTTTCCATGGCGTCACAGGCTACCATGGTGAACACATTAAATTGAGGGGGGCGCTGCATAGTCAAGCTACAGAGGAAAAAAAAGCCACACACACACACACACACACACACACAGAATCACATCAAAGACACACCCTCACACACACACACACACACACACACGCACACGCACACTTGGTAGCAGCAGCTCACCTCTTAGGACGGCACATGAAGTGTGAAGTGTGTGGTTGGTTACCTGAGCGATGCGTAGGATGGAGTCTCCGTTGATGTCAAAGTTTGGCGAGTAGGTGACGCACAGGAGAACCTGCAGGGGGCGCAGCAAGAAGAATATAAGACGAAGGAACGGCGGCGGGCGGCGGCGTTGGGGCGAGGGAACATTCCCACCTTCATGACCTCCACTTGCAGGTCCTCGTGCAGCGCCGGCGTCACTCGCAGCGCCGCCAACATCTGACTCACCAGCTGACACTCCACGGGCTCCGCCTCCTTGGCCTTCCCGCCCACAAAGCGGTCCTCGCACAGGAGGTTCTGATGGAAAGATGCAGCTGTCAATCGCGACGCATTCAAGGCGGGGCTGGACATGTGACGCCTAAACAGAAAGCACCTGCATGCCGCTCAGCGCCGTCTGGCCCAGTTTGACGTTTTTGGACTCGAGCGCAATCTGGAGCGGCAGAAGACAGCGCGCCCTGCAGGCCAAACCCAACAACAACATGACCACCTCATCCATCCCAGAATGAACATGACAACATCTGACATATAATGCCAATTTGTGAGACGTCTCGTGTCATATAACTGTGTGTTAATGTGACACGATGTAAAGTCACGTGTCGGGCATGAAGTGACATCATGCGATATGTGACAGCATGGAAGGTGAATGTACAATCTGGTCTTGTGAATTCACAACATGGTGTGATGTCACGTAAGATCATGTGACAGCAAGTGAAGCGGATTTTGTCTGTGTCGGTTTTGTCGGCGGGTACCCGCAATCAATAATTCCTGTTTGATGACATCACATGAGTTAAAGTGTTCTTACCGCAGCTCTGCAAGCGATAGCTTGGCTGATGCATTGTGACACTGGAGACTTTCTGGGGGAACAAAAAAAAACAAAGGATGAAAATTCTATGTCTTTGTACTGTATTCAATAAAATCGAGGTTGAACATGATTCGCAAATGTTTGTATTCATCTTTAACACAACACACGAAATTCATTGGAATTGTCGAAGGCTGACACAGCCATTAGCAAACACAGCTAGCGCAGCTCCCTTTGTCCGTACGTTGACATAGTGGGAGTGATTGGCGTGGAGGATAACAAACAAGTTGTGAGTGTGTGTGCGTTTATTGATCTTACATTATTAGCGTAGTGATGGGATGTTGGCTACCTGCGGTAGTCACAATGGCCCCAGTAAAATGACACAATAACAATATTTACAGGCGCAACAATACATCCATTTGTTGGATCAATTACAAACTCAATCAACAACTATTTGGTTAATCGATTCATTGTTTTGTTTTGTTTTTTCAAAATAAAAACAGCCCGGTTTGGTTTACATAATTGTCTCTTGGTACATCCGACAAAAATATGACCATTTTAGAAGATAATCTCTTCTGTAAATAAATGCAGAACTATATGCTTTCCACAATTTCAACGGTTTCAACAGGCCCAAATAGTTCTTTTGCCGTCCGTCATGTCGGAGGGGGCGTTCCTACGGAAGCTGTGACGGAACGCGCAAAAGGTGAACATGGTGATAATGAACTGTTTAGTTTTTCATGGTGTGGCATTAATACGCCTTGCAACTAATACCTATTTTAGGTATCTAGCTAATGGAGAGCCGGAGGAAGCACCCAAGCCATCACTAAACAAACAGCGAAATAACATAAATTCATTTGAAAAAAAAAAATGATTATCTTTTGGGGGGGGGGTTACATTTCAATGTTAGATATTCGATATCATCTGTATGTACATAGCACTTAAATATCTTCTATTTCCTATCCCAGTAATCCCCGACATTGCCATCAGCAAACAGCAGCAGGTGGATGCGCGTGAAAACGCCCCC